GATGAATTATGTAAACAAGAAGCGATTTGTGAAATAAGCCGAATAATCGAAAATAATGAAAACGGCACTAGTGAAATTAAAATAACAAATAATGCATGTGTATCAATCGACGAAATAAATAATTTCATTTGCAAAGAAGTTTTTAAATGTTTATTTTTTTTTTCGAATCAAGGCAAAAGATATCGCACAGCCAAGCACTCGAAATCGCACATAGAGCGACTGAGGCATTGAAACAAGAAAAAGTGACCAGCGAATACAAAATAAAATTAATGGTAAAAGACTTTATCATCCACGTTTTGTCTCGTGATTTGAATGAAATCAAAAACAATCTACATTTCTATTGAACGATACAAATTGACTGTCGAAAAATTAAACAATAATTGTGAATATAAATGGAAGCAGAATCGTTGAGTGATCATTCAAATTGGAGATTTCTAGCGAAGTTGACCGAATTTCAATGTGCAATTTGACAATAACGGTCGAAATGGCTGAAGAGACAACGAACACAGAAAGAACCTGAAACCTTTTCGTGCTTTTTGACAGATGTACTAAATTGAATGTTTTCTGTGTCGTCATCTGTTGTCGGTGATACTAATATCTTCTCTCGTTTATCCAATTTTATACAAAATCACTATTTTCATTCATAAACCAATTTAGAAAAGAAAATCACCGTTTTTCCGACTGTTGGCATGCAAAATGCACAAAACATAAGAGTGAAAAATTGTCATCATCAAGTTTAAAACACGGCACGACCAATTTCAAGTGTTGCAACTTTGTTTTAAGAAAAGCCGAAAATAATCTGAAAAAAAAACACTAGTACACAATAATGAATGGCAAATCATTCTTTTGTCTCTTTGTAGACATCAAATCTCACATTTTCAATTGAAAGTGAATTTTTTTTCCAAATGGGCCATATTCAGTAAGTAAGCTGCGTATAGGATTCATAGAGGCGCCATCTATCGCTACGCTTTTGAACTCTTGTGTATTCCATTGACTTCAATGATATATTGGGGAAAGATAGTGCGCCATGCTTTATTCTCATGCTTTATTCGTGAAGTTTTAGAAGAAAGTTCATACGCTGTCATCAATGTATTTACATTGGTTGTATGGTCCCATTGTTTTTTTTTCCAAACAACTCATAATCGTAATACACAATCACGTGTTTAGTACATTTCATCGATCAATACCGACATTGAACGCGACCTTTCAACGTCGGTAATGGTATCTGTCAAACTTAACGCTCTGAAAATGACATTCATGGCAAACATCAAAAAATAGTCAATATTTTATTTTTTAATTTTTTTTGGGACAACTTACATAACATTCACTTCGAAATCATAGCTTTTGAAAAATGTCGTGCCGAGGTGGTGATGAGACTATACAGCTCGGTTGTATCGTCTTGGCACGACCATTTTCAAATATTTCAGTTTGAACATATTTGATTTGTAGTTTGTTTCATTTTCCACACTGTCTCTCTCTCTCTCTCGCTCGCTCGTTTCAAATAAAATTGTAGATTTTCCAAAACTTTATATAAATAAAACGAAATTCAACAGCAACAAATGGATCCATTTCTATATTTTTAATTTATTTTCTTCGTCTTCTAAATATCAATTGTTGCTTATTTGCCTCCTCCAGTCGAAGAAAGTGATTACTTCACAAAGAACATATGAACTGGTGATAATAAATAACTGACCTTATTGCGTCATTTGTAAGAGCGACACTTTATTCTGCGTTTCAAAAAAGGGCACATCGTCATGGCGTGCAACCGATTTTTTCACATGTAAATACACGTAAAAAGGGAACGACGATGTGCCCTTTTTTGAAATGCAGAACAAATTGTCGCACCTACAAACAGCTCAATAAGGTCAGTCATTTATTCTCACCAGTTCATATGAAGAACACCACTCTTCTGTACCGAATTGAAGAAAATTCATCTGTTGAACATAAAAAAAAAATCAAATCCATCTCGTAACACGAACGCAGTTAAATTCGCTAAAAAGTTACACTTTTGGCCATAAAGAAGTTGAAGCAGCAAAAAATAGCATCGGAAATACCAAGTTTGTTATTATATTAATTCAACATTTATTACAGAGAAAAATTTCAACAAAAAATAAATAACTTGTAATAAATTAATTCATAAAAATGTGAATTAGTTTTAAAGCCAAAAATTTAGGAATTTTTTTCTTCAGTTTTTAGCACTACATGGAATGTAGAATACATGGAATATAGGCTATTGCATTTGTTTTTTTTTTTCCAAGAAATTTTTAAGACTCTTTAGGCCTTATTTTTGGACCGAAATTTAACTCTTCTTTCTATCCAAAGTTCTAATTTGAAATAAATCAATTACGCCTAATTACAAAAATATAATAATGTCATGTTCATGTAATTCATGTTTGAGATAACTAAAAAAAAAAATTTAATATTATTTTAATTCTCAATGTGAACTAATGTACAATCCACGTTCACATTATCGTTCCCAAAACTAAAATAAAATAATTAATTATACCATAATTTATTTAATTAATATATATTAATCTTTATTTATTTATCTATACGATTTATAACCAAATTTTTTAATGTTTCTCTTATATATTTAATTTTTTCAAAGTACGGCAATTTAGTGAAAGATTTGTCTAATGAACTTTTTGATGTTATTCCTTTAACAATCATTATTAAATTAAATAAAGCAATTACTCCACAAGAAAAGTCATCTTCTTGAGTAATAAATGATTCTTTGAAATGTATATAATTTTTTGGATTGTTTAAAAATGGATATAGTCTTTCAATTACCTCCAGTTGTTAACGTTTCTTCTTTTTAACAATTTGAACATTTTCAAATGCATTCTCTATTACATTTCTTTTACGCTTTCTGGTTTCAGCCACGGGTTCAACTTTGATTTTTTTGGTTTTTTTTTGCTCTTTGAACTCTCAGATTTCCTCTTCTTGACTGGACAACGTTCATTAACTATTTCCAACATGACTTCTTCAATTTTGAGGTCTTCAGAAAAAATACCGTCTGATTCGAACATAATTAATTTTGATAAATAACTCCTTAAAATTATAACAAGTATACTTCGATTGAAACTACATTCCATGTAGTGCTTGAATGAATAATTTGATGGAAATATCAAATTAACATAAAAAGCAATTGAGATAACGCAATTTTCTATTTTTCCTACAATTTTTGGCTATCAATCCAGAATGATCCGAATGAGTAATTTGATGGTTTGATGAAATGATGTTTTTTGAAAATTTTGAATTGCGTCATTTAATGAAGCGGCAATTCCATTCTATTTAAATATGAAAAACGATATTTTCATTCAACTAAAGGTCTTTTGAAAATTTTTCGATTTTTGTTTCTTTTTTTTCTTTTTGAAAAGTGTAACATTTTTCTTCATCTTGAATGAATTGATTTGAAAGAATTAATAAATTCCTATTGGGATGTTCATTTTTCTATTGATGACAATTAATGCACAAGTAATCCAGAGTGAGTATATTAAAACGTTGGAATAATGCCAAAAACGTTGCTGAATAATGAAATGCTACCTAAGTAGTAGTTCACTAGTAATCGTTATAATGATAGAAATACTAAATTGCTCTGGAGTAGGAAACGATAAAAATGAATTCAAAATAGAATACAGTCCAATGTTGTAATTTCCATATTCAAATTTGTATTTTACGAAAAATATTCTCTTCATTATTGTTGTGATATATGCCATCGATGTTGACGGCAGCGGCGTCGTCGTAATTTGTGTGGTTATTTTTTGGTTTTTTGCTTTGTCATTACTTAACCTTGCACAAAAAACTGAATATTCAATCTAATGTGTGTATGAATTGTATTTTTTTTGTTCTCATTCTGGGGTCGTATTATAATTTGTACAAATGTCTACCATTATTTTGGTGGAACACGTTCGTATGAAACTGAAAAAATAATGCCTGAAATTTATCAAATATATACCTTATGGAATTATTGTTGTTGATGTCATATTATGAATTTTTTTCATGTTACTCATCTCTGTCGTTTTGCACCTCGTTTTGGTTTCGTACTTTTCGTGATCTGTGTGTATGTATGTGTGTGTGTGTGTGTGAACAAAATACATTCGAAACAATTCACATAACGAAAATTTATTTCATTTTTATTTGTTTGTATTTAATATCTCGTCATAGATTTGCTTACATACAATATCCAAATTGCAATTATATATTTAAGACCTATTTGTTAGAAAATCTTTGATTTACAAAATTGACAGTTTTTTTTTATTTGCTATCTTATAGTTAAAATGCATTTGTTGTTAGTTTGTTTCTATTTTCTATTTTCAATTTTTTTTTTTTTTTTTGAAGAAAAGCAGTGACGATTCATAGAGCATTCGAAAGATTTCTGGTTTATATTTATCCTTCACAGGCACATTGTCTAAGACCTCTGGCGTTGAGTTTAGTTGAGTGTTTTTTCTTGGTTATTTTTTTTCTGAAGGCAATAATGATGCCATTGCAACCAAATTGGTTCATATAAATTCGTGATTACGTGGACAATATATATAAATATGATTTTGATTTGCTGTATCGATCGACTGACGTCACATCAATCGACTGGATGAGTGGACATTTTTCAGACGGATTTTTCACATTCTGCTGACATTAAAAATGTTGATCGGCCGGTGACGATCGTTGACTGATTGAATTTCATATTTTCGAATTTGCTCATTTCCCCGATATGAAATCCAATCCAGATGATGATGATGAATGATGTGAACGCTTGCTATTTGTGTGATGTATTTTGTGTGTAAATTTAACCATGAAAATAATTCGCAATGTTATAGTTGCAATCAAAACATGATTTTACAAAAGAAAACAACATTGTTGGTCGTGCAAACGGTTTGGACACATAATTTGGTTGCTGCATTGACATTAACAAATTTGAATACATTGAGTGAGTGTGTTGATCGTGTGATTGAATCATTGCTAATATTCTGATTTCATTTAGAGTGTTTGATATTTAGATTTGTATTTTGTGTGTACTCTTGCGATTTTGATGAATATTATCCTATTATTTAAAACCGAATCCGTTGTACGTTTATGAGTCTCTTTCATATCAGGCAGTGCAATGAAAAAATTCTAATCGTTTACTTCGTGTTCTTAGAGAGAAAGAAAAACAACAGCGATATTTGTTCTTTTGATGTATAATTTTGTTGTTTGATTGGTTGCTTTCTTCATTCCTTAGTATCGGAATTGGCCTTTGCGTCCGCGACCGTTGTGATAAATTCTCAATGGTGTGTAGCTGTTGCCGTTGGCTGGCGATGATGATGATGATGATGCACCATTCTGTTGTGGTGATCCATTGTGAGTTTGTAGCTCGGCTGGCGATGGTGGTGGCTGCTGTGCGGCCGTGCATCGTTTACCCAAGTAGAAATGATACAAAATGAAGTACAATGTGCCAAAGATGGCAGCAACAATTGCCAAATCACGGAACAGAAAATGTCTAAACGGAAAAAGAAAAAATGCAATTGATTTTTGATTTTTTTTGTTTCGATTTGTAATTCAAATGGAATATTTCATTAAAAATTAACGATTCAATTGAATATATTCAATATGCGATGCATCGCATTTCAAATAAATACCTGAAACCCTTGGCATAGACTGGCGCAACTAGTGTACCGATGGCGTTGCCAAGGCATAACGTAGCGATCATCGGAACTGATTGACCAGTGGCAATGTGGCGTCGTGGCACCAAATGTCTCATGTACAACACCAGTGTGACAAACACCAAGACAAGTGTTATTGATTCCAATGAATGCGTCGCCAGTGCATACCACGGTGAATCCATCAAGGCCAATCCGGTGAAACGGAGAATGTGCAAGGCAAACGCGCCAGTAAAAGTATTAGCATGGCCACAGTAATCAACAATCCGTTCAGCATTCCATAAAATGAAAATGGCTGGAATGGCAGCAACTAAACGAAATGAAAGGAAAATTGATTAGTTGAAGGGAAGATTTATTCGTATTTTGATAAAAATTTATCTCTGTTTTTCACCTAATGGAAAAATAATAGAAAAATTTAAGATTTTTCAAAAAACACAAATATCGCAGAATTCATATCTATGGTTGCGTTTAAGAAGTATACCTATAGATTCTTAATCGCTTTAGAATTGTAAAACAACAAAGTATGTATGCATTCATTAAATTAATATATACCAGTTAAATACTTTGCAAATTAGTCAGCAATTTTGTCTGTAAATTTGCATATAAAGTTCACTTCTGGGCATAAAAGTGATAGCCATGATCATTTGGTTTAGTCTATTGCATATATTATCATGTTCAAGAAGGTGAAACATGAACAAAGGTTTTGCGATCTCTATTCAAATTTTAATTTTTAGTCCGCATTTTGAAAGTGTGTTACACGACCGCTGATAATCGTAGTTTTGGTTAATTCGTCCCAAATTTAATACAAAAACGGTCGATATGCCTCGAAATAGATATTGGGGTGATTCCTTCGCTTCAATCCTTGGGAAGTAGAAACGTATCCATGTTAGTCATTCAAATTATTTGAAGTTAATGATTGCTATCGTATATAAAAATAATATAATTTCCTAAGAAAAACGGCCAATATGTTTATACGCTGTCTATCCGCCAAAAATCCACTTCAATATATATTTACGCTTATTGGACGCCGAATTGAATATATTTTCTAGTGTATATTCGGTGTATTCTTCAGCGTGAAACATATTGAATCAATGAATGCATTATTCATGGCCATCAGAGGGCGCCTGAATAAGTTTCAATATGTTTCACGCTGAAGAATACGCCGAAAATACCTTAGAATATATTGAATTCGGCGTCCAATAAGCGTGAATATATATTGTAGTGTATTTTCGGCGGATAGACAGCGTATAAACATATTGGCGGTTTCTCTTGGGTTACGTGTTTTTGGTACGTCTTCGTCAAACCCACTGACGTCAAAATAAGCTTTATGAATTACTTTGTCCACCTTTATTCTCTCGTTCGTATTCGAAAGTCCGCCCAAATCAGCATGGTCTGTGAAAATCTCAGATATGCCCATCTTTGGAACAAAGAAAAGGGAAATGTTTCATCTTTTCAATTTGGAGAAATAATTTGGATATCGGCATTTTTACTCGAAACATAAAGGGTGTCCCAATAGGGACGCAAAAAGTTTTTCAATAGGGATTTCATGATGGATGCCCCGATCTGTCAAACTTGAATGTCAGTTTGAAGCGTCCATCTATACCATTTATAACCATGTCAAGATTAAGTAAAGATCAACGCGTTCAAGTCGTTAAATCCCATTACGAAAATGGGTCTATTTTGCAAAATACGTTTCGTGCAATTCGTGAATTTTTCGGCCGAAATAATCGACCAAATGTGTCCACCATCAGTCGCCTGGTGCAGAAATTTGAGCGTACTGGCTCTGTGTTAGACGATCAACCATCAACCCGTATGCGAACGGCCCGCTCGCACGAAAATATTGCTGCTGTGAGTGAAAGTGTGGAGGACGAGCCAAGAACCTCGGTTCGTCGACGTTCTCAACAAGTTGGCCTCTCTAGGATGACCACATGGCGTATTCTCACCAAAGACTTGGGTCTACACGCTTATAAGATTGTCCTCACTCAAGAACTTGAACCGATGGACCACGGAAAACGAAGAGATTTCGTCGAATGGGTCAAAGGAAAAGAGGCCGCGGATGCCGATTTTTTGAAGAAAGTGATCTTTTCGGATGAGGCTCATTTTCACTTGAATGGGTATGTGAATCGCCAAAATTGTCTATTCTGGGGAAGCGAAAATCCAAGAGAAACTGAAGAAGTGTCAGCTCATCCAGCTCGTTGCACTGTTTGGTGCGGTTTATGGGCCGGCGGCATCATCGGGCCGTATTTCTTCGAAAATGATGATGGTCGAGCCGTTTCCATCAATGGCGAGCGATATCGTGAGATGTTGCAGTATTTTTTTTTGGTCGGAAATTGAAGGCATGGACTTATCCGACATGTGGTTTCAACAAGACGGCGCCAGACCACACACAACACCTGAAACATTAGCGGTAATCGAAGAACGTTTTCCAAATCGCATCATTTCTCAAAAGGCCGAAGTGGAATGGCCGCCTCGTTCGTGCGATTTAACGCCATTGGACTATTTTCTTTGGGGCTACGTCAAGGATAAAGTCTATGCCAACAAACCAAGCACCATTGCCGAGCTGAAAATTGAAATCAGACGTGTCATAGCCACCGTAAATGTGCCATTACTCGAATCTGTAATTGAAAATTTGGGCAAGCGGCTGAAGGTCTGTGAAAAGAGCCGTGGTGGACATTTGCACGATATTCTTTTTCATACATAAATGGTAAAGACCAAACTACAACATACAATAAAGATTTGGAAAATTGGAAACTATTTTCATTGTTTTTTTTTATAAATACTTTTTTGCGTTGCTATTGGGACACCCTTTACGTTGTTCAATATGTCAGTTAAATCCAATTCAGTCTCGATCGTAAATCTCGGAATCCGGACCTCACACCTACACTCCCACATCTGATTGATAACCCTTAACAAGGTGTAATCTCTGATCCGCTCCTCCAATTCGGAAAATGGAATTGTAATGTGATGGATAATAATCAATGATAAACTCGATTCCTTATATTTCAATCTCACTGCATAACCGCCCAAATCTATTATATAGGCTATCTGAAAACGACCACTGACTCGCATGAAATAAGGAAATACCGTCTCATTTGGACTGTTAGCAAAAATCATTTTCAGGTCGAATTCTTTGTAAAACGCTCGAGTAAATGAACTCTTGAAATGAATCGCATTAATCAAAATAGCGCGATATTGGCCATCGAATTGTTTCGGTGTGACAATTTCGGTTATCTTCCCTTCTGTGCTATTCTTCACGAAGCTATTGATGGTTTGGATAGTATCATTCCCTCTTTTGAAGTCAACAGATCGAATACTTGAAAAGAACTTTTCCGTAGCCACGTCTTGAATATTCTTATTCAATTGAATTTCTTTTTGCACATAAATTTGATTAGTAATAATTAGTTCCGAATTGCCTGTGTTTTTCCGAATCGATTCAAAATAATCATGGAATTGATTTGCCACGATGGTTTTGTCATTATTCAAATACAGCACTCTCCTTAATTCATCGAATGTAGTTCCATTGGTTGCTTGCGATAGAAGTGATAGTGCCATTGCCACAGAAAATGGCGAAACAACAAAATTCTGAGCTTGAGCACATTGCTGGAAATGGATTTTTATGTATATCAAAATCAAAAATAATATCAAATTTTCAATCACCTCGTACAAATCGACCGAAAAGTTGACAAATCCCTTGTTCCATTCGTCCGCTTGCGAATTTTCAACACCTTCAGTCAAGCAAATCGCTAAGAAAACAACTATAAACTGCAGCACTGGAATGAAAGAAAAGTGCTTCAAAAGTAAATTTATGGAATGATTTATTTATTCACTAACTGTTATCGTCATAGGAAACAATGAAGTGATCTCTTGTGATACTCAGACACAATTAAAGACTCTATTGAACAAGAATAACAACCAACTCAAATTATGACCTCTTTCGAAAACCAAGGATAATTTAATATAAGAATTCATAGTATAGAAGCTAAAAACGCTGCTAATTAATCTCTTACTTATTCACTTATTTTGAATAAGATCGTGAATAACTCTTCGAACTTATTCTTATTATTAGCTTCTATAATTCATAGACGATTATTGAATGCTTCCGGTTTTCGAAACTCAAATACCAGTACTTTTGTTCAACAATTGAGTTTGATTGAAACTCTAATCAAAATTCCTAATCAAATGTAACATTCTACACAAATGGTTATTGTATTGGGTCTGGGAATTAATCGTGTCGATTTTTCAAAAGATGGCGTAACTTTGCATGGTTGTATTGGGCAATACTTTTTTCTTTTTCACATGAGTGGTCTAGTGTCAAACTACAAAAATCATCATCTATCATTTCATCGAAGTTTGGATAAACATTTTTTTTTGCGCCTTAAATATGTCAAATTTTGTACCGAAAAAGCAACATTTCCCGCAAGTATTAATTTTTTGCTTTCATTTGAAGAAAACTGCGGCTGAAGCGCATCGAATGTTAGTGGAAGCCTATGGTGAGCATGCTCCATCGGTACGTACATGTGAACGGTGGTTTTCACGGTTCAAAAGTGGTGATTTTAGCACGGAAGACAAGGAACGTCCCGGCCAGCCAAAAAAGTTTGAAGATGCGGAATTGTAGGCATTGCTCGATGAAGATTCGAGTCAAACTCAAGATGAGCTTGCCAGAGCATTGAATGTTGACCGAAGCACTGTTGGATATCGTTTAAGGGCCCTTGGTTTCATTCGCAAGTTGTCAAATTGGGTACCACATGAATTGACGCCAGCGCAAGCTGGAAGGCGTTCAGTGACTTGCGAAATGCTGCTCGCAAGGCACAAAAAAAGAGGTTTTCTGTATCGAATTGTCATTGGTGACGAAAAATGGATTCATTACGATAACCTCAAGCGCAAAGCATCGTATGTTAAGCCCGGCCAACCAGCAACATCACAGCCAAAACAAGAAATTCACGGCGACAAGGTAATGCTGTCTATTTGGTGGGATGAGGAGGGAGTGGTGTATTATGAGCTGCTGAGAAGTGGTCAAACCATCGATGGGCCTTTCTACCGACAACAATTGATACGTTTGAAACAAGCAATCAAAGAAAAACGCACGAAATGGGAGACCAGAAAAGAGACATTGATTTTCCTACATGACAATGCTCGGCCACACATTGAGAAATCGGTCAAAAACTACTTGGAAAATAGCGGATGGGAAGTTTTGGCTCACGCCCCGTATAGCCCAGACCTGGCTCCTTCCGACTACCATTTGTTTCGATCGATGGAAAACCATATGGACGGAGAGCGGTTCTCTTCAGTTGAAGAAATCCAAAATTGGCTCGATGCATTTATAGCCTCAAAAGATGAGGAATTTTTTAAGGCAGGCATCCGTCAATTGCCCACATTGTGGCAGAAGGTCATCGCTTCCGATGGACAATATTTTGATTGAAATGTAATTTCATTTTGGTATTCAAATAAATGTTTGAAAATTTAAAAAAATCGACAAAACTAATTCCCAGACCCAATATACAACAGCAAATTGTTGAATAAATTGAATTGAATTGAACTCTGGAATGGTATGACTCAGGTAACAAAATGGGATAGCTGGTCATCTCGGCTGACGCTTGGTTATCGAGATAACTTGAATTATTTCGAGCGATCAATTGTATTTTGAGAGTGGGATCCAAACGTTATATATGGATTTGTCTTTTTCATTGATTGAACGTTTGGATCCCACTCCCAAAATACAATTGATCGCTCGATATAATTCAAGTTATCTCGATAACCAAGCGTCAGCCGAGATGACCAGCTATCTCATTTTGTTGCCTGGTATGAACTATATTTCATAAACAAAATACACACTTTTAATAAATTAGTTCAAAAGCTTTTCGAACTCGGTTGAATCAACGCATGACAATTGTATGAGTGAAGGAAAACATGAATGTCCCAGAGGGATAATGAAACGTCTTATTTTTGCAAATTGAAATGTCCCATGTTTTTACATTTTTGTTTGCAAAACAGTCAAAAGAAATCGAAAATCGAGTTTAAAATTTGAGTGATTTCCGAAGCAACCATGTCATACTTACAAAATAGATCACAGTACATATGTTTTACATCAGTATATGTTTTACAGTACATCAATTTAGCTAAATCAAACACTTTCAACGTTTCATGGGGACGTCGGCACTAGTTTAGAGCCAATGCTCAAGAATTTTTCGAACATCTTCTACTTGAATTTTGATGACGATAACAAGCTATATTCAAAACAGATGAATATGTCGCTATCCCATTAGGCCCACGATCCGATAGCGTGAGACTTGGCTTAACTTTACTTTACAGAACTATTTGGAATATAAATATTTCTGCTGTGGATTGCTTATGGTCACTACATTTCATTTCTAGGGTGCGATTTGCAATTTTATGATTTACCGTTATTTTTTGACAAGTGTGAATTTTTCAATTTTTTCAATATCTAAGCCTATAAATTCTCAGCCGTTGCAAATAAAGCATTGATCACTGAAGCAAAGTTTTAGTACTTCATCAGAGCTATGCAGCGCACTGTACTAAAATGTACTAATTTTTACAAAATTGTACTAAATATGGAAAAATGGTCCTAGTGCATTTCCAACGATTCCTAACAATTCTAGGAGGCAGCACATCGTACTAAATGGTACTAAACTGTGCTAAAATGTACTAAAAATGTAAATGTATACAGCTAAACCAATTCCGTTGGTAATTCCTTTTTACGTCACAGAAATGTGTACGTGCTTTACATGTTTATTCATGTTTAAATGACTAGTTTCGCTCTTGTCACATTCTGTACATTAAGACTTAATGTTTCAAAAACGGAACATGTTCATTTCAGGTAAATAATTGATGACAAGTGTCTGAGGAATACATAATCTAACTGATTTATTCCAGCATTTTATCATATATTTTTCGAACAAAGTGGTTTATGTAGAAAAAAACACAATTTTTTTGCTTACTTCAAATTAATGTTCTTTTATTATCGACTAATTAACATTTCTAAATAATCTAACATAACATAATAAGACTAAATAGCTTCACTTTCTTTTCTAAATGGACTCATTTTCTTCAATCAATTGCTCATGCTCACGTTGAGATAGTTGAGTGAAATTAATTCGCAGTTCGACAAAAAAAAATTGAATGTTGAATCGATCTATCATCAGAAAATAAATTTTCTACCCTATATATCTAATGCTATAATACAATCACGAATGGATTCAATCTCGAATCAGAGTAGAAACCAAAAATTCTGCCTGAAGAATCTCAGAATCTGGAGAAAGTCGAATGAAAATTGTATTTCTTTCCGCAGATTATTATTCAACAAGGAATTGAAAACACGTTTTCATTTTCATCGGCGGTTGGTTTAAATTACTCCTGAAAATGGATGAAGATCACGTGGCGTTGACAAGCGATGGGAGCGAAGACTTCGTCGGAATGCATTCGTTTTTGGGAAAGATGTTCGCCGCGATATTCGCAAGCAGGTTACATTTTTCAAGCTGTCTTCGTAGCTATCACTGGAATTTGTTTGAGTAAAACAGTATTAAACTAACATAATGACAGTTTATAAATAGTTGAAAGAGTAATGAATTATTTGAGTTGCACACTCAAAAGTGATGATGAAAAAAATATGCATTAAAAAGCCAAACAAATTACCTGCTGTCTTCACCAGCATTGCAAACGTGCGCACCTGCAGCCGCATAGCCACAAACGCATCGCTTAACTCGTTTGTCGGTGATCATACGATCGCGTAGATTTTCACGTTGAGAGCTGCGCATCAATTGCACTAATTGCTTATTTGAGCCAACATTTAACTGAGTGGTCAAGCCAACACCTGAGTCACACCCACTCGAATGAATTGATGGGACTGATGTGTCCAAATTATTCACATTCCTATTGAGAAAATCAAATCAATTTTATCGATAATCATTCTTTTTTCTGGGTTACATTCTAGAAAATGCAAAATCACTTACTGATTTTGATGTTGAAGTGGATTGTATTTGATGCATCGATTCTCATGGTCCATCAAATTGAAGTTGGGACTCAGAGCGGGCTGTGATAACGGCACATCGATAAAATCATGTCGTCGCCCATGCCCACTGTGACGATCTCTATTGATTTGAAAATTGATTGAGTGATTTGTTAGAGTGAACGTGTACAACGATTTGAATTGGAATTCAGATTGAGCTAGCACACTGACAAAAGTACATGCAAATGCAAATTTTTGAGTACACAGAGAGAAATTAGGTTGGTACGATTGCAGATGACTTTTGGAATATGTCAAAGAGCAATTTTTTTCTATGGCGGTTGTGATTTGTCCAACTATTTTGTAATTTTGAATGTTTGCAAACTTGAACGATTTTTTTTCGAAAACTGTAAAATAAAAGCTACCCTTGGCATTTTTTTTTATCGTAGAGTTAATTGATTGGTTTCTCTTGGGTTGAAATACGATTTGAATGAAAGTGGATTAGAATGGGAAGTAGAAACCAGTAGATTAGATTTAAATAGAACTGCTTGGAGAAGAATTGTTAGAGGTTGATTTAATAATTCGAAACAGACCAAATATCGAAAGGTATTAATGGTGTTTAAATGTTTATTGTTGTTGTTGTTGTTCTCTTGGGTTGCTTTTTGACATATTCCAAATGTCATCTGCAATTCTACCAACCTAATTTCTCTCTGTGTAGCTCCTAAAGAAGTCATTAGCAAACATTCCCTTAAATGCGTTTCATTTGATTAATTTGTTTGGTCATTGTTCAGTGCCAACTCTCAATAGAAAATGAATAAGCAAATGAACTACTGTTTTCTGTGTTCAACAATAAAACAAAACCAAATCTATGATTAGTCTGAACTTCATCACTTTATCACTTTGGCACTCATTTTCAGTTTAGCTATGATATCTGTTATGGAAAAGGGCACATTTTTGGTTATAAATTCCCATTGAATTGCGTGAATAAATGTTGTTGATGTGTGTGCAACAAAAAACACAAAAAATACTCGGATTATTGGCATACAAAAAAATGATAATTTTTATTTAATGAAGGTGCGAGGGATTTTACATATAAATAATTTTTCGTTCCTTTCTCTTCAGAAATTAATTTAAATTACAACATTTGTACAATACTGTTTGTGCAGTCTCGACCTTCTACTTTGCATACAATTATTTATTACGTGTATTATGTTTTCTATTTCAATTATTACCACAATAACAGCAAAATGTTAGTTCCATTTTTACGTGATAAACTACTTCTTATCAACTTTCTCGAAAGGACCATTGGAAACTATTTCGAATGATTATTAGAAAAATGAACGCTCAGTTCAATACAAAATTAATCCAAAACAGAAAAAAACCATTTCGATTTCGAAAATCTTCGGTGGCTGATCATGAATTGTTTATGATTAATTGCGATACACAATCTCGACACTTCAATAAAAAAATTTCGCCCGTACATAACCTCTCTAGAAGATCGTGCACATCAAATCTGATATCTGATTTACATCGATTTCATTTCATTTCACCTAGATTCATATGGATGTTCATTGGAAGAAATTGCCAGTAAGCTAACTTAATTAATCGAAATAATCTCTTTGTGGAGTATTTGTGTTATTTTAAACAGTGCCTTTTGTTTCTTAGTGCTTAGTCTTATTAATATCTCAATTGTTATACAGTCTACAATTTTGTGAAATTTCCAAAGATACTGTGAAGAAACACACATATTCAATATGTGAATTTTAGTCGATTGTACCTTTAATACTTCATACAATGTATAACTAAATTAATATCTACTTTTTTTGGATACGGTGCATTTTTCCACTTGACCCCATTATTTTGGGAGAGATTGCATTTTGTTTTCAAAATTATTTTGAGTTTTTTTTTTTTTTCGAAAAATTGTCTAGGTGCAAAATCTAAACTAATTGTGCACTTGATGGACTTAAAATCGTTGGGATTGACTTCTGAGAGTGTAAGCGATTGTTGCCCAATTTTTTATTGGGTTTAAGTCCATAGATTTAGAATCATTGCAATTTTTAAATGTGTTTGATACAAATTATGAATCGTTTGGAATGACAGCCTCTTGATAAAGTATTGCAAAAAACAAAAACGAAACGATGAAGTGAATCAAAAAAGTGACAAACTATTTGAAGTGCTCGCAGTTATCGTTTGAATCGTTGATGGAGGTAGTTTTTTTAAGGGGATATTTTTAACAGGTGTCTCATTCAACCGCTCATGTTTCTTTTTTAGAGTTATCGATGGAGCATTCGGATCGATGTGATTATAAATAATGAAATGGACCAATGAATGAAATTTGAAAATGGTCATAAGTAAGGTTTATTCGTATGAATGCAACGATTCTAAAATGAAATGATTGAAGCATAAGCAATAACGATGGCAGGTTGAAGTGATTCATGACGTGTACATATGAATTGCAAAAGCCTATATATGACTGTATGGAACTAAGCTATGTTCTAATTTCCCCTATTTATTATTGGAATGTGTCTCACCGTTTGTATCGAACGCAGACAACGCAGAAGGCTGTTGCTAAACCACCAGTGAAAACAACAATGGCTAGCATTATTGTGGCTAATTCCGATGTCTTTAGATTGGATCCTTTGTAGTTGGTTTGCGGGATTTTTGCATTAAAACTCTGGTATTCGCCGAGCTCAGCCAGTCCAAGTATGCGCGACGAAATCGTTAAATTGCTCATCGGAATCGAACCCATTTTGCTAATATAGAAAAAAAAATTATTGTTGAAAAGTATGCAGATTCGGACATTTGAAATAGAAATGATTTAATTTGGAGAATGAAAAAGTACATCAATTACGAGAACCCAATTATGAATTATTTTCATTGGGCAAAAATGGCTCGCAATTTAGATGAACTCTTTTAATTAAAGAAAAAAACAACAATTCTTCGTTTCTCTTCCAAATTCAAGTTTTTGAACTTTCAATTGAAATAAGTGAAACTTTATTCTGATTTATTTACCTTTGCAAGACATCCATATCGACGACAGTGTTCGATCGAGGATCCACAGCATACAAATACACATCAGTTCTGTAAAAGAAAAAAATAGATAAAATTCAATAATTTTCTAGTTTTAAAATTTTATATTAGAGCAAAATGCGCCAATTTATTTCAATGAAATGTTGCAAAAATTGTCCACTTACGCCGGTTGATAGTTGTCACTCATGTGTGGTTCAAGCATACGTATCCGAACATCGAAACTCGTTAAATCGCTCAGAGAACTCGTCAAATTCTTGAGATCTCGTTCGATGTCAACCGGAGTACCAGCTATCACCAACCGTACGTTGCGACTGTCGTCAAGTATATACACCTACAAATCAATCAAATTGCCAATTTAGTTTGACTTTTTCTAGTTGTTGAATACAAAGTATGTTGATGCATACAAAAAGATTCATTGATAATTCATTTCAATACGTACAAATACATTAACGATCGAGCTTCTGCCGTCTTCGGCACCTTTACGATCGGTGGCTTTAACATCGAATCCGTAAACGCGTTGATCATTTGTGATCGGTCCAATTACGCGAATGTTGCCCGACATCTCATCGATTTCGAACAGTTTCGTTGGTTCGTTCAATAAACTGTAACGAATCTCGGAATTCAGGCCAATATCATCGTCAGTTGCCTCAACTCTTGTAACTGGATAACCGAAATTTGCCGTATTTGGTATGACTGCAACAATTGGCTTGAAATTACCAACGAATTTCGGTGAGTTATCATTTTCATCGGTTACACGAACCACGATCTATGGAATCAAACATTTAAAAATGAGTAAAATAGCTATTTTCATGGACGAAATGTGCATCTTCATCGCAGCTCCTTCGATATGATAAAAGAGAAGTGTTCCAAATAGGCAAAAAAAACGCGGCTTAATACCGGAATTTCAGGTTGGCAAAATGCACCAAAGGCATTCAGTTTGATCTTTTTGTTTTCAATAGCAATTCTAAGCATGATTGAATGAATAGCGGTACTGGTCAACACTCATCGTGTTTGCACACATTTATTTTACATATTACTTCTTTGCGCGGAAGGTAGCGCTCAATTTCAACACATAATCGCCGATTCAACTGCATTCAATTGCTTTTCATTGAAAATTGATTAACGATATGTTGTTGGCTCAACGATCATGTACAGTGTACCGTTGCTCTGAAACGTCGCAGATGCCGTTTTCAATAGCAATGAATTCTGTATTGGAAGAAGTAATCTGCAATAAAATTGTGTTGCTGTTGTTTTTTTCTAAATAGAAATCTTAATGCCACACATCATCTTCATTCGACTTTGATTAGCGTTGTTACCTGCTTTTTTTCTATGTTAGAATTTTTTCCATGCGACGGAAATGATGAAAGTCGTGTGTGTAGATTAGAAATTAACTCAGTGTTATTACGTTGATAAATAAAAAGAATTACATTGGTAATCCCGAACTTTTCCGTACCGTTGGCCTGCGTTGTCCGTAGGTACTTTTGATTATTTTTTGTGACTTTTCTTGAAATAAAGGCAGTGAAAATATAATAATGAAAATAAAGTGGAAAATCGGTAACATTAACTAAAACTTCGACAATTTTGTATGAGAGGTACCCGTAAACCGATTCTTATTGACTTTAAACTTTCTGAGGTTTCATTTTTTGGAGAAAAAATAAGATTCTGAAAGTTTCAAGTTGATCGCATTTGCAGAAGTTTGGTTTTTGGCCCTCAATTTTTTCCAAGAAAATTTCGACAAAAATTGAGGACAAAAAATCAAACTTCTGCAAATGCGATCAACATGAAACTTTTAGAATCTTATTTTTTCTCCAAAAAATGAAACCGCAGAAAGTTTGAAGCCAATCAGAATCGATTAACGGGTACCTCCCATACAAAATTGTCCAAAAATCGGTAATTTTAGTCAAAATTTCAAAAATTTTGTATGGGAGGTACCCGTAAATCGATTCCGATTAGTTTCAAACTTTCAGAATCTTATTTTTTTCTCAAAAAATCCCAGAAAGTTTGAAGCCAATCGGAGTCGATTTACAGGTACCTCCCATACAAAAGTGTCAATTTTTTGAGGTTTTTCTTAGGGCAAGTACCCCAGGGTCAAATCGAAAATGGCTCATCTTCGAACTTAAACTAAGTTTATTGGATACAAAACTTTTGGGACTTTCAGATTTGGATTATCTCAATTATTTTTTGAGTTATCGTGTTAACAAACAGCTACGACGACGACAACGACAACGACAACGACGACGGCACACGAACGGAAAAGTGTTTCAAAAAGTGGTTTTCTACGCGTTTCATGAGTTTTTATGATGATCTAAGCTAATTTTGCGAAAAAAGTTTTCGGGACCAATTCCTATACTTTCCCTTGACACGTTGTGTACGGAAAAGTAAAAAGCCATCTCAACGATTTCGAGTAATAATAAAACCAAATTACTGAAAATAGAAATGCAAACTGAAAGTCGTTATCCGCTAGTCGCGAATGATAACATAAAAATGAAATGTCGCCAGAAAAACCGGAAACATGCAGATGTATTTCATCAAATCGTATAAAAGTTTTGTTTTTTTATCGCTTCTGAGGAAATTTGCGGAATTTGTGTACTTTCAGCTCTCACCCAATTTCAATCGAGCTTGTATACAAATAAGTATATATTTATCTAGCCATTTTTATAAATGGGTTTTTTGCTTCGTCAAAGTGAACAGTGTCTCTTTTTTTCAAATTCCACTACTCAATGTCGAATGATTTTTTTTCTATCTGTGCCTTGTCTAGGACACCTGGTTCAACTGTCTCATAAAATGAAAAGAAAAGAAAAAAAGATTTTTTTTCCACAGAACACTCACTCGAACTTCATTGTCCATTAAATCACCGATGCGATCATCCGTGATCGGGTACATAATTGAGGCGCGACTTTCTCGAAAAACTGGATCAGCGCGCACTTTAAGCCGGTAAGTGTCTTCCATTTCTCTGTCCAGACTTCTAACTAGCCACAATGTACCGTTGTGAGGATCGATGCGAAATTCACGATTTCTACCTTGTGATTCCGTTGTGATGCTCCATTTAAATGACTTTTCGCGGTGTATATGTGTCGCATTGATTTGCAACAGCATCGTTGGCACCACATTATTTTCGGGCACTTCAATCTCATAGTATTTGTGTTGGAATAGACTGTTGCCGATGATTTCTTCGTAATCATTATCCATGTTGCTGGTGGTTCCTTGTAAATTAACAATGAGCAATGCCACTGATGATTTTGACGGTGTGCCCAAATCCGATGCAATAATCGTTAAATTGATGTGTTCGTACAAATTTTGATATCGATTAAATCGGGCGATAGTTGTGATGACACCATCGCGTGAATCAATTTCGAAGAAATACGGCAAACTATTGTGCCGTAATGCGTACATAACCAAACCATTTCCGTTGCCCGAGAAATCTTTGTCGATGGCCGTTATTTGTTTGACATAAGTTCCCGGCTCGGTGTTACGATTCAAATAGGCTTTGTAAACGGGTAGATTGTATGGCAAATCGTCGTCATTAATCGACTCAATGATCTCATCGGCATCGGATATTCGACGGCCAAAGCCACCGTTTAACGTGAGCATTTCATCGAAACCGGTGAAAATTGGCGCGTTATCATTTAGATCCATAACATTTATTTCGATTTCAACGGTCGAACTTAGTTGTTGCTCCTTTTTGCTGTTGTCACTCGCTACCACTTTAAATTCATAAAGCGCCTTTTTTTCACGATCCAATTCGCCATTGACTTTTAAGATACCGCTCAATGGTGTAATGTAAAACGGATGCGAATCATTGCTAAGCAGCGAATATGTAATATTGGCATTGTCACCGTAGTCTTCATCAGTTGCAACAATCTTTCCAATCACCATATGCATATAGTAACCTTCGCTGATATCATGGCTATACCATGACTTTTCAAACTCTGGCGCGTGATTATTTACATCTTTCACCTATATGAATCAAATAAAATTTTCGGCATTTTAATTTGTATTTAAAAATAAATATAAATAAATTTGGTTCGTCTCAATCTAAATGAATGGCACAATGTATTTGAATATGAACTCAAGAAAACGTCGATTAAATCAGATGTTTGCCGGTAGAAAATTAAACTTTTTCTTCTTAAATTATTCGAATCTCTATACTCGAATACAATATTTTATACGCTTTAAACGTTGTATCTAAAATAAATCGAAATCTCGTTCACCATCTTTCAACGGGAGGCAATAAACGAAAAAAAGCCATAACCATGTTAGAGATTGAATCTGCACAAAAGAGCTTGAGTTCATTCACATTTTTTTATATGATCAAAAGTGAGAGATAGAAAGAGAGAACCTCTTATTTCTTCAATTCAAATTAAATTAAATGATATCGTTTCATTCCATTTTAAAATGATGGGAGAAAAAACTGAACCAAATAATTTTCAACACTTAATAGTCATTTCGCCTACCTTGAATTTAATTAAAGTGGTATCGCTCAATCCGCCACTATCTATAGCCGAAACGTTCAACATAATTTCGGCTTGTGCGGGTAATGGTCGTATAACACGTAGTTCACCGCTTGACTCATCGATTCCGAACAATTTGGTAGTGAACATTTGTTTGGCGCTTGATCGTGGTGCAGTGTGTGATTGTGAAACGATTTTATACGTAACCTGTGCATTATTCTCATAGTCATCGTCGGTAGCCGTGAGACGGAGTACCGTATTGCCAACGTCAATGTTTTCCAGTATGGAAAAGACGGCATATGGTTTTTCAAAATTGCGTCGACGTGAACGTGATCGACTGGACGACATTCGTGTTGCATTTTGTGCACCATTCATCATATTGTTGTTGTTGTTCATTTGACGTGGTGTTCCAATGTGTTGGCCATCGGCCAATTGCATTATTTCATAGTTGATATTACTGGCACTGGTCATCAGTTGGTCCTGCTGTACATTTCGTATGTGGTGTCGAATCGGATAGGTCAATGTGTCTGGTTCGGAACGATCAACAAAGTAAACTTTTAAATCGTTTGGATATTCCAATACTTCAATGCTAGCATCTTTGTAAATGGCAAGTTTATCGAATATCGGCGCACAATCATTGGTATCAATAATGTAAAGAGTGAACTTAACTTCGGAACTTAAGCCACCTTTGTCCCGAGCCACTACATTGAACTCGTAATAACTTTGAATTTCTCGATCAATCACATTCGGTCCAATATATCGAATTGTATACTGTGGCACTACATTGACGAAATCACCTAAAAAGTTATTGCTCACATTTTTGTTGGCGGCATGAATTTTTGACAGAGTTCGAGCAAACCGTTGATTTCCAATCGAATAGGCGGAGGTGAATTGATTTACAAGATTTGATGTTGCATTCCGTCGTTCAATCGTAAAGAAATTACTACCTTCACCCTGCAAAGTAAGGTCAAATACGGAATTTTCACCCACGTCCGCATCGTGAACGAGCATCTGTTGATCGAACGTCACTTCGGTGTTGACAGCGGAGTTTTCAATAATTGAACCCGAATATGAATGCATATTGAACACCGGTGGATTATCATTGTCATCGTCCACATAGATTACCACTTGATAAATACCAGCCCCCGTCACATAGCCTTGCACATATTCGGCGATGATGGTCAAATGATAAACATCACGCTCTTCCCGATCCAGCGGCTTTAGGGTCATCAATGTACCATCGTTTGTGATGGTTATCATATTGTTGACGTCATGTTGATTTGCGATTACAAATCTCAAACCGCGTTTGTTGGTATTCGATTCGTAGCGCTGTCGATTCACCTGTTTGCCCGATCGAGTTAAATTCTGCAAATTGGGGAAGAAACGCGACTTTTCGTTATTCAGCTTGCGCAGCAACGGTCTCGGTGTAACTAAAACCACTTTTGATATTGAGGTTGTGCTTGTATTTGACCGTTTGCTCGATATATCATCCAACAAATCGTCTAACGTTGTCATATCGTGTGTCATTATATGCTCAGTTGTTGGCATCGATTTAGTCACGGCCGTTGACGATGTTGACGATGTTCGTGAGGTCACCGTTACTATTGATCGCGTTGTCACTGGATGCGCTGCTATTTCTACACTCATCTTTTCCGATTCAACTGCCACCGAGTCATCGTTGTAGAACACGGACGGAGTGACTGACACATAAAATTGATCTTCCAAATTGACATTTCGATGTGTACGCTTGTATGGCACTGGACCTTTCTTTATCTTCATTTTACTCTTATTGAATCGTGAATTCAAGTAACGCTCATGTCGTGCCGTTAGATTCGACATCGGCATCGATGTTGCCGATGGCGCCGGTGGCAAACTTGGCCTTAGATTCACCGATCGATTTCGCTCCTCTCTCGTCACATTTTTATAAATCAATTGACCGATCATTGCATCCGCTAGATTTTCACGGATGTGGAACTCTATCGGATCGTTAGTTGTTCCTCTGCGGAAAAAAAACGAATTTTAAAGAAAAAAGGCGAAATTTCGACACAATACTTTCAAATGAAATTTTATGGTCATAAAATGTATCGAAAAATAGTGAAATGTCCAACATAAATATTAGAAACAAATTTAATAGTTTCCAATAGAAAATTGTTTTACTATTTCGCACCAAATTTTCCTTAAAATCAAGCTCACCTCATTAGTATGCCAGCCTCTTCATCTGGATTGACGACATGGACTGTAACATTTGTAATAAGAACGTTTTCATTATCAGTGACAATGCCTTGTTCCAATTCAAATACATCGCCATTTTTGGTGATTTGACGACCCGACTTAGATGTGTGTTTTGTCAAATGGTTTGTGTTTGCCCGTGGCTTTTCAGGAGAGAACTGTGAATATGATTTACAAAAATAACATTTTCTCTACTGAACTACGACGAAGTTTGTATGTTCAAAACAAATTTCATTCAAATTTCATTAAACTTCAAATTCAAATTATGAATGAATGAATGAATAAATGTGTTAACTTTGTGTTATTTCAATGAAGTGTTTTTTGTATAAAATAATATTGAAAAATCAATGTTAAAGAAGAAACCAGTTTGAGTCTTGGTACGAATCATCCCAAATTAAAATCAAACCGAATTTTCAACTTACATGTGCAGCAACTGCTTCGAACTCATACAGTTTTCGATCATAATCGGCCAAATCTCGAATGACCGTTACAATTCCGGATCTTTCTTCAACCGCAAACGGAACACCTTCTGAGTATGAATGTAGCAAGTCGTACATAACATATTCGCCACCATCCCAGTCAAAATTGGTTTTGATATGACCGACCGAATAGCCGATCGGAGCGTTTGTTCCGACCCAAAATTCATAGGGAGCGCCAATGAAATCCAGAGATCCATCAAAAACTTTGGCAACCACCTCAACAGTGACTACAGCCAATGAAAATCGGCGTTCCGATGGATTGGCGGGCTATGGAAGAATGGAAAAAATCACATTTCATAGATTTTTATCTTCTTTTTTTCTACTTTAACTTTATCCCGAAAAATCATTCAACTTTTCATTTTAACAAACTTAATTTCATACCTGATCGCTAGCTTCAACGAATATAGCGAGACGCCCCTTCTTCAAAGTATTCGAGACAATCAATGCGCCAGTTTTTGGGTCGAGTTTAAACGGAACGTGTCCGGTACCACCGGTGCCACCCTTTGGTTGTTGCAATTCATACAAAATCATGCCGTTGCGGCCTTCGTCTGGATCTTTGGCGGTGATATATCCAACAATATGGCCAATAGATGCTTGTTGATTTACTTTGAACTCGTACAAATTGCCCATTTCGAATGCAGGTGTATTATCATTGGCGTCCAACAGAGTGATTTCAATTTCGACGGTGCTTGGTTTTTGATTCTTCTTCCCGTGTGGCTCAATCTTTTCAACCGCTTCGATGGTGAGCCGAATTTTCGTTCGCACTTCACGATCTAACAGTTCTTGATCACGCACTGTGATCCACCCGGTGCGTGGATCAATCAAAAATGCACCTTTTGGACTTTCTTTGCTTATCATATACAGAAAATCCGCATTATCACCCTGATCACGATCCAATGCATTCACTTGCAAAACACTGAAACCACTGGGAAGATTTTCAACGATGGATATATTATAAAATTCAACTTCAAACTCCGGCCGATTATCATTTAAATCGACAATTTCAACCTCGACTCGTGCCACTGCCCGCTTGATCGGCGTATCTTTTTGACGAGCCTCAATTTGTAGTACAAACGTATTTCCTGGCAACGTTTCTTCTTCCAGATCAATTTCAGTGGTTAAATACAACACGCCCGTGTTGGCATTGATGGAAAATAGATTTCGATCGTTGCCCGAAATGATGTCATAAATCAACGTCGTATTCAGAGAATCTTGATCGTATGCCATGATCGGTGGTGAAAACGATAAAGGCATTTTTATATGCTGACCCTTCAGAGAAAAAAAAGAAACAACAACAAGAAAACGACATGAGAAATACATATTGAAAGTGAGTTTTTGAATATTTACCCTTGTCTTAGTTTACAATAAAAAGAAACGCAAACTCTCATTTCGTCCAATTGTGCAATTGCGAGAGTCTTGAATAACAAATGAACCGTTTTTTTTTTGTTTTCTTGCAGCTAATTACATATTCGTGTAATTTTATTTTTTGTCGAGTCTATTTTCACAGGTTCATTTTTTTCTCATGAAAAACACAGAGGGATATCTAAGAAATAAATCAAAATTGAAGCGAAATAACAGAAAAAAAAAGTTGAAGACATGGAAAATTGAATTGTACTTGTTTGTATGGTTCAAGATTATTACATCCCAATAAGATATAGATTTGAGCATTCCTTTAAGAGCTCACTTCAGTTCAATTTGTCCATTGATCTCCAGTCTATTTTATTATATTCGTAGATAAATAAATTCATACAAGACTTCGAACTTTCGCCGAAATCCATCTCTTTTTTGAAATTGAAAGGATTGTAATCTTTTTTTCAAATAAAATCATAAATTCAATAACAAACAAAAGACCAACTCTGGATAAAAAGAGTGAATTCTGGGTAGAAAAACGCTCTTGTAAATACGAAATAATTTCCAGTTGCACCATTTAAAACTACGCATTTCACCGCAATTCAAATAAACAATGTTCAAGTGTCTGCAGATAATATTTTCACAATTTCACCACTTTGAAATGCATTTTCAATATATGTATATTTCTTTGTATATTCATGAATAATGCTAAACGAAAGTGAAATCATTCAAACGACGGGGCCATATGGCATATATATGTAATTCTGTAAATGGATGATCTAGTTCAAAAACACCTCGGGGCGTTCGGTTCAAAACACAAATAATAAAGGTCGCATGTTCATTGTTATTATGATATTATCTGTTGTACAAGCTGTGAAATAGTGTACGCAAAGCGGAAACTCATCATTTGCATCGTTTTTGTTTTATTCGTGTCGAAGCGAATGTTTTCAATATTTAGGTAAATTCCAGAAATCCGAAAAAAGAAGAAGAAGAAGAAGAAGAAGTATCAATTGAGATCAGTAAAACGAGATTCGTTTTGAGTAATTTAAACCTAAAAAAGAGAGAATGAGTGTTAAACGAACGTGCTAATAATGTGGAATAATGCAAGCTATAAGCATACATTCACATGCACGAACCGACGAAATGAAAAACGGCGCACAGCATTTGCTCATGAGAATGGACATATTGATGTAATTACTAATGTGGGAAGTACTCTTTTTTTTGTGAATACACTTTGCATATTATAACACATTTGAATCGCTTTGAATGAATAGCTAAAGGTACTGAATGCAATTTGTCGTTAGTGCCACGGCCTCCGCCGCTGCCATCGTCATCGCGTAAACAAAAATTACAAGTCACTGTAAAGTAACCATTTTGGGTGACGGATACACACTCATTGTGAGACTAGATGACATAAATCTACGTTTGATGTTACATGTAATAGGTTTGAAATGGACAGTGGGTAATTAAACAAATGGTCAGCTGAGAGAGAGAGAGAGAGAGAGAGAGAGAAGAAAAATGGCAATTTCATCAACTTACGGTAATTGGGGAAAATTCGTTAATTTTCGTCCGAAAAATGCTCTCCGTAAACTTTGGCGGTAGATCATCGCTGTCTTTAACCATAATCATCAGCATGGCTGTTGACGATTTCGCATTGTCTCCACGATCCTGAGATAAACAGTAGAATATAATTGTTTTCTTCATTCTTTGTAATGATGTAATAAATTGTCATATTATTCAATAATAATTGAAATCTTGTCAAAGAATCACCGTTTTTTTTAAATTTGATAATAGACGAACCAATGAATTTTCATTTTTAGCTCAATCAAAATAGTTTCAAGTTTAATCAATTACTTCATTGGCTCGCATTAATCCCAGAATCGGCAATATTTGACCGGTTTAATGAAGAAAAGCGGTTGATTTTTTATGTTATGTATCTAGAAAAAAATCTATCATTTACGTTTTTTCACTGAAACAGTTTTAAACATAAAATTTCATTTATTTCTGATTCTTCATTTTTTTTCACCTGTTTATTGGTTAAATGCTATTCTTTATATTTTAAATCTTTTCAATGGTTATTTTTCGTTATGAATCGCATTTTCCTTTATCAATTTGCTTATACTCACGGTTGCGACGATGGGAATTTCAAACATGCGTTTTCCTTCATCAAAATCAAGTGCACGTCGCAAAATGATGTGCGGCCGATGTGGACTTTCGAGAGCAAAATGGGCATCTTGTTCGGGCAAATCGATGGAATATTGCACATCAGAATTTGGTGTGTGTGGCTTATCACGATCGAATGCCGATATGCCGGTAAAAATTTTCGCACCCACCGACGTTAATTCGTCCACATAAGTAAGATATGGCAAATTTTCAAATTCCGGTGCGTGATCACTGAATAAAACGATTTTCATCATATATTTTAATTTATTTTTGTTTTTTCTTTCTTCTGAATTGTTCAAATTTATTCAATGGTTTTTTTTTTCTTCAAAAATCGATCGATTTAAATCAATTTCTATCTATTTGCTTATACTCACTTGATATCTTCAATGTATACATTCACGGTTAAAAATGATGTCTCCTCCACTCGTCCACTCTTGCTCATACATTCAATTTTGAATTTTAATACATTTTGTGGCACATCGCAATCGACTAAATCATCAATCGATCGATCCAATAAAACTTGGATATTTGTTTCGTTCACGGTTTTTAATTTAAAATATCGCACATCGTCTGCATTTTCGCTGGTGCCTTTGATAAATACAGTTTTCTGTGGATATGCACGTACATTCAAAATTTCATCGCCAATTTGTAGGTTTTCACGTATTCGAATGAATTTTGTAGTTTCCAATTCACTTTCAATGCCATTTTTATCGTAAAATACACATCCTGAAATGCAAAAGAGGAGACAATGTGTTTAGTGAATGTTTTAATTAAAAGTTAGATCCCAAATGGAAATTTCGTCAATATAAATATTTCTATACGTAAAATTCAAGCGGAGGAAGCAAAGATTCAGACCAAACGTGGACAGTGAAATTGATGTAGCTCTCGAATAACACATTTTGTTTGCCATAATAACAATTTTTATGCAAAAAGAATGACTGGCTTCAGTATGAATGCACGGACACTTACTTGTCTCCACAAGCGCATATTTGATCATTTGCACTCGTTTTTAGTCATTTGAAATAGTGAAAATGAGTAGATCTGAATATATATATGAATCAATATGAAATCAGTTTTCGTTTTTTCAAACAATAACTTAAAGATTTGGTACGAAAATAAACACAACTTGTTGTCGCTCAAAGACGACACTCTCACATACACACGCGTACTTCAACGGACGAAGTTCGCTCTGTACCCTGCGAATAGACATTTTGACATTTTCTCGAAAAAATCGGTTTAAATTATTTCATAAGAAATTAAATGTGTGTTTCAAAGAAAGTGAGAAAGAAATGTCAAAAACCAAAATGTCTAATGTTACAAAAAGCAATACAATCTTGAGTTCATTTGAATTTTAAATAAACAGTCTTCTCATCTGCAAATGATAACCATTGAAATACCTCCCGTGAAAACCATACTGTTACACAATATGTCCGGATGGAAGTTGGAAAAGAAAATAAAAATTCGCCACCTTCTTTCCGTCAATTTTACACATTTCAAGTCCACATTAAAATCATTTGAATCCAAATTTTAATCAACAAACCAAATCGTTAGATAAGTGGTCTATTCAACTCGCAAAACTATAGTTGCACATGCCGCGTATGGTGATAAAAATAACCTTTATTTTCATGCAAAGTTCTGTCACATGTTATCGCATCAACTTTCATCTACTGAATTTTTGATTCATCGAAATAGTTTCACACAAGAAATGGTATAAGAAACAATTATTAGAATTGTTTTGGTACTGAAGAAGATCGATATGCGGCAAACGAAATTTAATCAAGAATTTTGCGTATTGGTTTGCATTGATCAGGGAAAATATGTTCACCTCATCAATGGAATTCGATTACTCATTTTATGATCTAACACACTCTTATCAAATTCAGCCAGAGACGAAGCGAATTTTCGGAATGTTTTAATATGTATTTCTGAACAATTTTTTTGAATGTTTGCATCACGAGGGGGAGAGAGATAGAGATAAAAAGCACGGAAGAAGATCATCATTCAATAAGCACCGTTTATCGGATTGCATTAATTGGAATATAAATTCGAGCGTCTACAAGTGCCAGATTTTGTTCCGCTTGTCTCATTATATTTTTAATATACTAACCAAATTCCATGTGTGTTTACATAATGGGAAAGACATTGTTATTTTTCTGTTGTTTTTTTTTTTTCTGCTGCTAGTATTTCTTTTTGATTTTATTTGTAGTGTCGAGTCGAGCCGGTTTGCATAAGAAATCTACTTTAGTTGAATTCAATAAGTTATGAGGATGGGAGAATATTCGTCATTGTTTTCAACTGCACATACACACACTCACATACTATTTCATGTCGCTTCTATCATTTGTTGGTGTGCATGCGTTTTTTTCTCGCTATAAATTCACACACTCTACAGACAATGGTATAAGATACTCAATACTTGAAAATTGTGGAAAAATTGCGTTATTCTTTTTTTTTTTGAGGTTGTATTTGCTATGTGCTCGCTTTTTTTGCTGCTGCTGCTGCATCGAAGGAAAAAAATGGAGAAAAAATAATCAAGCAATAGGTAAACGTTGAAATATTTTCCAAAGCAACGAGCACATGTCATATTTTTCATCACAATACTATCCCAGATTCAAATAAAACAATCATAATGAAATATGCGTGTATTCCGTACTCTATCGGCAAATCATCTCTTTTTTACCGCACAAAAGTGGCGATTAGTTGATAAATGCATATGGAAGTGATGTTACAGTCTCAATTAGATGTTTGCTCCGTTTTTATTTTCTTCTTCTTAAATTTTTTTTGTTTGAACCAACAAAAACACATTTGTACGTAACAGCTTCAATACCCTACATTGAAACGAAACGGAACATATTGCGAAAACGGAAATTGCGAATCGATTTGTTATTTATTTGCGAGAGAGAGAGAGAGTGAACGAAGTTAGAGTGAGGTCTATAATTCTCATCTGTTTGATCATATTTGTTTGCTTTTTATTTAAAACAACAACAAAACAAAACAAGAAAATAATACAATTGAGATATGGTTAATTTACTCGCTCCGTCCATCCTTTGATTGTTTTTTTAACTGTTTTTGTTTTGTCTATTGAGAATTTGAAAAAGGTGCCGTTTGTAAAAAACAACTTCCATTAAACTAAAGGTGAAAATTCGATTGGTTATGGCATTTTCAATAGAAATTTTGTGGGCGTTGTGTGACAAATCCATTGAGAAAATTGAAGCATTTTGTGCATATCATCAAATCGATTTGTGCATGGCATAGGAGAAGAAAAAAAAGCGTCATCGAATTTTTGCATAAGGTACATGTCATAGTGAAAGTAGCGCTACAGACACACGTATCACGTATTAAGTTTAAATGAAACACTTCGGGCAAGTTTAAATGAGACACTTGTGCGGCCAAATAGCAATCTATCAAGAGTTTTAATACTCATGTGTCAAAAATCATACGATCGCCGAATAGCAATTAAAACGGTCAATTGTGAAATCGAAATTATTCCCTAGAAAGAAAGAGAGGAAAAACAAACACAAAGCGGAGCAAATGAAAATACCGAACTAAATTTAAACTTGACTAAAAAAAACACACAATCAATGATAGTCTTCAGAAACTCAATTTAGTGTTTTTTTTTCTTTCGCCCATAAACATCTGATTGAACCTGCCCATTCTTTTATAAATAACCGCATTTCCATCAATCTTACGCAATCTAATTGGATAGACGCATTTCGGCTAACGTAATAATTGGAGGTCTTTGTTTGTTTTGTGTGTATGTGTGTTTTTGCATTTTTCCGAAATTATCTGGTTTTCAAATCATTCTTAACGAACCTTATGGTGAACTATGCTTCTATAATAGCAGTTACTTAACTTTTATACAAGCAGCAACGCATTCAAGCTTATGCATCAAATGAGCTTGACATTGCAATGTTAAAAGGGAAAAAAAGAAAAAAAAAACAACAACGATAAAGCCAATAAATCCCATTATAATTATTCACTCGGCTGCTATCGAATAATTATTTATCATCGGTATTAGAAAATTGCTTTCAATTTATCGTTCTCTGGTTTTAATATTAGTTGATCAAGACAAATGGGAATATTGGTAATTCATCAAGAGCAATAAAAATAATTGAATCAATCAAAACATCCACAAAATGACGACTTCTGCCCTTTTTTCCATAATTTTTTTTTTTCACTACGAAAATTGATTCAAACAACGTTTTCTACTAGTAAAATTGTTCGATAAGTCGTTGAAAACGTCTTCATTAAATCAATGTCAAAGTCTGATGAGTTTTCGAATGCTCATATTCTACATAGTTTTTTTTTCTTTTAAAAAAAGTTTAGGATGCTCAGATAATTCAGTTCACTGAATCAAAAGTGACAGCATTTTCGATTTTTGGGTCGTTATTTGTCTTCTAATTGAAGTGACCTTAGGCCCTTGTCTATCACGATTCCATGTATTGTATATTACGTTCGACATTAGGGTCATCCAAGTGGCTGATAATACTCATAAGCCACACAAAACCGTACAGATTGCAAAAAAAAAAAAACAGAGCAAAAAGAGTCAAATTGAACCGAGTGACATAAAACAGTTCAAAGAGGAATGAAACATCGATTTTTCAGCCATTACAAATGTGAATTTATGCGGTTTGTAGTGTTTTTCCTCTTCTATGGAAGAATAACAGCATTTTGTACTTGATGCTGTAAAACAACAGCCACAATAGCAAAAGTGAAAGAAATGATACCGTCGAAGCGTTGTTTTGTTGACATGGTTCGTGGAAATCCAATAAATAAGGCAATAAACAATGCAATGGAAGGAAACAAATTGTGTGTGCGAATTTTTCCACATAGCAGCAGTAAAACGAAATTAATGAAACAAAAGACATATTCATATGTGTGATAAAAAGAAATGTGTTTTTTTTTCTTCTCAATTCGACCTATTTTCGAATATTATCGCCTTGACCGAATTCCATATCAGATTGTTTAAATTCGATCATGATTATATTTGTGGTAACAATCCATCAGCTGTGTGTGTATTTCACTTGATTATTGTCTGTCCATTTTTCATCGTTTCATCTACTGAATGCGGAGAGTCTTTTCGCTGCCGATGGGTTTCGCATCATTAGTTTTAATATGTACAACAAAATCATTCGATTATTTGCAATTGTACACCTAACGCGTGTGTGTTTGTGTTTCTGTATGTTTTCTTTGTTTCGATGAAATTCTCTCATTTAATTAAATGTATTTAAACGATGGAAATATTCCTAATTGTTTTTCCTGTATATTCGGAACACTTGGTGTGTCTGACGGCTGCGGCGGTGGTGGTCGTGTATGTGTGTGTGTCGAACGCTTTTTGTTGTTATGTTTTCATTTTATGAATGCATGTTACAAGTTTTATGAGAAAAACCATCTATTGCCGTACTATTCAAAACAAATCTAATTTGTTGTTCAACGCTTTTTCCCCCGAAATGATTCGAAAACAAAAAATTTATGTGTGTGCGGTATAATGATCGAGGTAACACATGGATTTCATTGAAATATGTTCCGGAACTCTTTTTTTTCTCTCTTTATTAATTATTAATTATGGATTAATTTAAATTAGATTTTCGGGTGGTGGTTTCGAAAATCCATTCAATTTTATGTGATTCCGTCGATATTCGCCGCATGTGGCGTTTCCCATTTCGAATTGATTGAAAAATTGAAAGGTTATGATGGTCTGTTCCAACATTGTGTGTACTTTTTGGTGTTATGTTGATGGTCTTTACTGTCAAATAATGGCAGTCGTTTTCGGGCTCATTATGCGCTTTATATTTTTATTTCTTCGTATGGCTTAGTTTCGATTTCATTCAACATAAAATGAATGAAAGGAAACAAAAAAACAAAAGGAATATTAGTCAATTTTTTTGAATGAGCTTCCAATTAACAAACATACAAAGATGATTACATCTACTTCCGTAAAATTGCTGCTGTTGCAAACACGGCGCGACGCGACACTAAAATCAACATCAACTGCAACAACTGAAAATTCAATCAACTGAAAAATTAATTGGACAACCAAAGTTGTGTCGCACCGAAGTTACATGAATGTAATTAGTTAATATTTAAATGCTGATTTTTTGCAATTAATGCCATTTGAAGTAGAATTGATTCAAATGTTCGCAGCAAATGCGCTCAAGAAATAAATTCAATTTCTATCTTTATATTTGAAATGAACCAGAGAAGAAAGAAAAGATCGAGCGCTAATTCCGTTTTATTTATCACACGAACTATCGCAAGATGTGGAGCAAATTTTAAATGAAGCCCGAATTAGTTTGGTTTTTGAGATAGATAGAGAGAAAAACTACTTCATAAATAGAATGATTATGCAGCAATTTTCTCGCTTTGTGTACTTAATGTATTGGAGCTTTGAGATTACCTAATGGGTACGCAATTTTACAATTTTTTTTTTTTGTAGTCGCGTTTTTTTCTCTCTTCTTCTGCGCGCGCGCGAGCGCGAGCGAGCGTGTGTTTTTCTTTTTGTTTCAAACCGCACACCTTACACAGTGAAATGTAGATTTGCAGAAAACGGTAATTGTTTTCATAGGCAAAAAGGCATGAGGAACAAACAGCATCACCGAGTATTCTGTTATTATGAACGCTGCCAATGGGTTCATTATTATGCGAAAACCTGTTTTCCCACATATCGTACTCGCGTAGTAGATATATACATATATATGGATATATATTCATGTCATAGAACTTGTACTTGTTGTGCTAACATGTAAGTACCATTACTCGGAATATGGATACGAGCAACAACAACAATAAAAAAAAAATATAACACAACAACAATGTGCTACAACATTGGGCTGGAGCTATGCGCATTGGATGGAATCTATTTCAATTCAAGAGCACCAATTTCCTGAATTAATCCATGATCGATGAGATACTCGGCAATTTAGAGATACATATCAAACGGCACTAACAGCAGTAGGAAAAATATGTCAATACCGATAAAGAGCCCTCTAAACCCACATTGCAAATTAATTATATAACTGCAAAATGTAAAATATTATACAACCGCGTGCACATTCAACATTGAAAACGATGGACATGATAGCCATTTTCCCAGCATATGTGTACTAAGCGCGCGATCGCTCTCTCGCACTGAAGAATAACCGTTTCAAAACGGTTCTTTCAACTCGCGAGACTCGTTTTCCTTTTTATGATTTTTTTTTCGTCATAGTATTCTATACTAATGATAAAAGTTGAACAAGAATGTGTGTACAGTACACTGTACAGGCATTCTTAGCCGACTTATCTAATCGATGGCGTTCACAAACGCTTGACCAACCCACTTCGATAAACTAATGACATATTCGACACAATGTCATTTCATTCTTGATTAGAATCTACAATTGCCGGAAAACTGTGTGACTATTGTACTGTAGCAACGAAGGTGCAACCAGTTTGGAAATTAGTTCAATTTCAACACTTTGAAGTCAATTTCTTACATGATGTTATGTTTATGTCATTCTTTTGTGTGTGTGTGTGTGTGTTTTTTGTTGTTTTCGAAATCATTTGTTTGTTTGTTTTTCATTTTTATTTTTCTTGGATTTTAATCAATTTTGATTCATTTTTGACATTTTCAAAATATGATACGTTAATAATTTCATAATCATTCAAATGTTCGAAGCATTCCGCAATACTTTCCTACGTTTAATTCCATTTTCTCTATTTTTCACCCTTTTTGTGGTGAAATAAGTTGAAAAGAATAGGAGGGAATTAATTTCAAGAAATAGCCAGATTATCAACTCGGCATTAAAACGCAACAACTAACAATTTAATGAAATGCAACAACTTAAACTACTTTCTTCAATTCTTTTTCTTTCTAATTGTAATTTATGGAATTTCTTTCACTCGAATTGTCCGCTAAAAAATCAAGAGCAAACAGGAAAAAAAAGTCTTACCTTCAACGAAGAATAGTCTGTATGCGATGATATCGAGCAATAATATGATGGTTTTTATGACATTTGGATTCATTTTGTTCGATTGTTTGGTTCGGCTTTCAAGAGCATTAGTGTCTGTTTTGTTTTTCTTTCGTGATTTGTTTTCCTTCTTCTTTGATACGGTTGACTGTGGTTTAGTTCGTTTGTCAGTTGTGCTCACTCTTTCTTTTTTTGCAATAAAGAAAAGAATTTGTCAGATCAATCAATTTATGAACTGTCAATTTATATGTAAATTGATTTGTCGTACAAGAAAACCATCAATGTGATTAGCAGATATGCTGAGCTACTATGATACGTATCAAATACTAAATGGGATCAATTCAGTTGAACACACAAATGGTTTCAGTATGTTTATGTCGTGCCATATTCAGTTTAATGCACGGTCAGTTTTCTTCGGTTGAAAGTATTCACTATCACAACATTGATTGGCGGCCGTTTTTCGATCGAAACTACACATTCTGATGCATTTTCGGTGCAATTTGCAATTATTCCATTCAACACTTGAAGACACCAACGATGAAACAAAAAACCAACAGAAAAAAACAGAATTCAAAACCAGTTGAATAAAAAACGGTTTACGATCACGACGTATTGATAATATTCTCATAAATCCAAATCCAACAAGTACGAAATGTTATTGGTGGATCGTATTTCCAAAGCATATCATTTGTAAACCACTTGTGTATATTATGCCAAATTGATTTCGAGCAATAAACGATTGTCTGGAAAGGTGTTTTCAAACAACTACAATTTTTTTTTTTTTCATATAAAATTCGCTTCTTTTTTTCTTCTTCTTTTCAATAAATCGCTTTCACTTGGACGCTGAAGTAAAATTCATTTTTTCTGCTATTTAGCCAGGCTCCTATGTCCGATCGGTTTTTATTCAAATGAGCTATGCGCGCTTCTTTTTTCACTTCATTTATCGATCAAAATCACTTTTAACAATACCATCTTTTCGGTGTGCATTATTTAACATTTTGTTTCTTTATCGTCGACTCATCCATTGAAATTCACACACCAAAATGCGCCCATTCAAATGAAAATAATACGATTTCTTCCAATACCCGACTATGGCGCGACAATATTTGAAGTTAACGGTGTTTTTTTCTCTCTTCTGTTGTTAAGTTTACATTATCCGGTGGCCGATGGTTTTGTGTATCTGATTTTTTTTTTGTCTTTTATACTGACTTCTCGTCGTCTACAGAAACATAAACACTGAACTGGATGGCTTTCGCCCGGTGTTAAGGTTTTTGGTATGTGACTTGATGCGCGGCTAAAATATAACTGAAGTCGAGTGGTGTGCGCGATTGGCAAAATTGCTGTTGACTTTCATTATGCGCGATGATCTCTTTTCACCTGCACTGGTTCACAACGTGAGAGACTTGCAGAGTATGTAGTTTTGTATATGAGCTGGGGCCGCGCTGTGTTACTGCTACCTCTTTATCGCTTCTTTTCCTCTCTTCAGCATCGAGGCGCTGCAGCGGCGATGTTGTTTGTTATGTGCGTGCGAGCCAAAAGTGGCGCGCGCGAGGCCGCATATACAAAGTGAGCGACTTTTAGTAGGCAAACTTACAATGATCGCAATGATATACAAATAAAAACCAAGGGAATTGCCAAAGTACAGGAGAGCAGCGCAACATTACTCTTTTGGCGTATCTAGAAAATTGTTATTTTAATCGCACAGATTTTTCATAATGGTAGATCATCATCGTTGGATTTGTTGTTTTTTTTTCTTCGCCAAACACACGTCTTGATTCTTTGTTTTCATCTTTCGCCAAATCATTTGAGCTGCCGCAGATGAAAAAATAAAGAAATTTTTATCCAAAACATTGTTGACCTGCCTGCAAACATTTCGTTCCCGAAAAAGTGTGTCGAATTACTGCTTTTTTTTGACAAGATTTTCGCCTTTTTTTTAAATTTACTTACATTTTCATCCATTCATCATCATCACCATCGACCATGGTGCAAAAATAAACATCAACAAATTGGTTCATGTTTCTCCAAAAAGATATCATAAATAAATCTGGGGATAGCTCAAAGTATTGAAAAAAATGCACGAATTTTAAGTTAGAGTATAAAACATTATGTTTTATTTCTTTGCCGTTAAACAAAAAAAAATCTGAACGTGTAAAAGAAACACGGTAAAAAAGTTCTTACGGAAAACAAAATGCTAGCCGCCGATGGTTTTTTGTTCGTAGGCCGGTCATTTTGTCATTTCTTGTAAAAATTTAAATGGATTGAAGATTCTTCCAGGTGGTTTTGTCTTCTTTCACCGGGTCAATCAAGACACATTTTTGGACAATGCACTCACTAAATTGGTCCATCGGAATGTTTGTTGTGAAAAAACACTTTCGTCACAAACGAAACGACCATCGAATAGAATGGATGAAACGGTTTCGCACGGGAAAAAAAGAGCATTCAATGGTTGAAAAAAAGCATTTTTAAATGCCACAATATCCATAAATGTTTCTAAAATTCACTTCACATTCAAATGCAATCCAAATTTAAAAGTCTCAATAAAATATAAATCGATGCCTATTTAAAAAACGATTCTTTTGTCCGTTTTTGTTCAACAACATAATAAATAAAGGCCCAACATGATTCCGACATATCTCCCAAGAATCGATCGATTCTTCGGTTTATTGGCCTCATTTGTTTGTGATCATTTGATCTTCTGTTTAATCAAATGTTTCAAGTGACAAGAGAGTCGCTGAGATCGCATGTGAAGTGAGCATAACAGTTGATTCGTGGAGTTTGTCTTTGTAAACAAATGGTGTTGCTTTGTTTGTAGTACACGCAGCACGCTGAAACTATGTCAAAAATCGTCATGCCATCATACTGAGAGATGTAAACCGAGTGCAATGTCTTTTTCAACTACGAAATAAAAAAAACTGCTTACTTTACGTGTTTTTATTATTCATCTTCTCGGTCTGGATAATAGATAGACAGAGCAGAGAGTGAGAGAGAGATAGAGAGAGAGCGTTGGGAGCATAGAAGTATGCGGAAAAAAATAAAGAAACATTAAGATTCGTAATGAAGTGTGTGTGTGTGCATTTGATGCGTCTGTTGTCTCTTAGAGTCGATTATAATAGGTTCGTATTTATGCTACTGGTGCAACTGTTGTCTCACATTGCTCTTTTCACATCTTTCGCCGTTCGGTGTTTCAGTGTGTACCGTCTACGCGACAGCACGCACTCACATCCGTCGCATACTGTTGTTGTTTACAAAAAAAGTAGCTGAAACGCACGAACAAAGACCTAATCTGGATGCAATCACACAGAATTACTTATCTCACCATCATTTCCATCAACTCATTTTATTATCATTTTCACTCAGGCGAACTGAAACTGAAGTGAACGATGGCAACCACAGAGTCAAAGAGTCATCAAAGTGACTCGCAATAAACAACGAGCACAGTCACAACAATGCTACGTTTATATAAATAAATGGAGCTACCATCATACCGAATTTTGTATATATGTATCGATTGATTGTTTCGCATCAATGAAGTGAATGGTGCGGAACATTGACTTACAAATTGTACATTCGATGACCACGTTGTGCGCATTTTTCGACGTTTTTCACTTCAATATTCAAATGAAAGTGAGTGCTTAGACAATTTCTAAAGTATTCCGGCAAATTTCATAACCGCAGCACCGCAGATTTTGTACAATCTGTCGCATCAAATTACATTTTAACGCCAATGTATCGGTTTTTTTGCCTATTTGCAATGAGTAAGCAATCAGCAAGAGTCTCTCTCTCTCTCTCTATCAATATCGGTGAATTTTGAACTTAACTTGAGCTCGGTGATTCAAAAAAAAAAACAATGAAATGAAAACAATTGGCGAGAAATTTTTTCCAATCGATTTCGAAATTTTCATAATTAAAATCATCTTCCGAAAAATCATTAACATTTTTTTTTTCAATTTAATGAAGTTTATCGCCCGAAGTGACATTTGTGCTTCAGTCTGGTCAATTAGCTCGCATTTAAATGCAAAGAAGAAAAACTTTTTTTTGTTCGTCGCTATCAATTTATTCAATTTGAATCTGCAAGTAGTTTTTTTTCTAGCGATCGTCATTTTAAAATGGTTTTAATTCATTTTTATTTTCTTGTTTCACGAAACCATTTGTCAACATAGCATTCAAGTGTAAAGAGCATCGAATTAAAATTTGGTAATCTCCCTCGCTAAAATACACGATTGACTTAAACTTTTCGTCAATCTCAAGGCAGTGGATGAATCGAACGGTGTACACGTTGAACGGATTAAATTGGCAATTTTTCGTATTAATATTATCCTTTGTAAAGCAGCTAAACAACTGCCCATTCGATATGTGTTAAAATCTAAATTTTACTCTGTTTCAACGATTGATATTCATCGTTGATTATCTGTTGCTAAGCGTTAGCCATGAAACGAAATCGGAATGATATTGAGATTTGCAATAGATAGATAATACGGCACCATTTTTCTCTCTCTCTCTCTCTCTTTCTCTTTCTCTCTCTCTCTCTCTCTCTCTCTCTCTCTCTCTCTTCTTGATAAAAGGATCATTTGCATTTTCATTATTCATAAGTATAATAACAGGCGACATCTGTTTCGATTGCAAAAGATACGCTCCAAATATGTATCATTTCGAATGAGAAAGGAAAAATCAGTTTGAAAAGACGCCATACACACAAATCATGTGAGTTATGGCATATTTAAGATGCAACAACAACAACAACATAGCTCATAATATATAACCCAATATTATGATTATTACACGATCAAACACTATTGTTATTAGCTGCATTCTGCAACAGAGTAATCTTCGATTATTCATTCTTATTTCTTCTTCTTTTTCTCTATTTTTTTCCCCTCTTTAAACCCACGGTTTTTCTGTGAAGAAAGAAAAAAAAAACAAATAACTACGCTCGAAATGAACGAGCATTTGCATTATGGGTGTCTTCAGTGTTTGGCGCCAACAATGCAGCTGCCGAAGGTCGAACTACACTGAACCATACCCATCAATGTCAACGTACTCCAAGTTTGCGTTTTATTACGATTATTTTTTTGAGCGTAAACCATGTAATTTTCAATCAACATCGCTCAATTTACAAGACCGTAAACAATCATCCAAATAATAATGGTATTTTGTGGGCGACAAACAACAGTTTACATCTCCAGTGAGACAATTTTAAGTCGAAAATAAACAACTTAACTCATTCGCATTCCCTACGGCATATTTCGAACTTCTGGTTGATAAAATATGAAATGAAATCTGACCATCAGAAGATATAAAGAAAAACTTTAACATTTGGGGAAAAAAAGATGTATCAGTCGTGAGTAATAGCTGCTGGTGTAAAATTTCAGATCTTTTTTCCATGATGATTTTTCTTATGGCATCATTTCGACGAATGGGTTAGTTGATTACTTGAATTTAGCATAAAAAACACATACACTTTTGATACAAACCTATAGATTCACCATGCTGCTATTTCCGCCTATTGATGCTATCGTCTTCATAACGTTTCGCTATTACCGATTTGACGATTGCAAGAGCCATAAAATTTACAATCATAACTTATAATTTTGCATATAATTCTTCAACTCAAACAAAAAAAAAAAAAGGGAACAACACATTAATAAATTGGTTTAAATTCATTGAATTTTTTTTTTATTCGAATGAAATAATTTTCTTCTTAGTGATTTCTTTTGTTGTTCTTTTTTTTATGAAGAAGATTACTGAATCAAGAATTTGAATTGTGATCTTTTAATTTTAAGCTAGGTAAATTATCATTATTATAATCCTCAAGAACAGTAAGAAATCACGTGTCAAAATTCAAATGTGGAATATTTCTGGGCCCATTTTAGAATTTGTACAAATCTCCAGAAAGAAATATATACGAATGAAATACCAAACAAAACGGTTGTTCGAACTACACTAAGCAATTTAATAATTAAATCTTTTACCGCTCTCTTATGTTTCTATCTGGCCAAATGGGAATAACAACAACATTGTCATATTTCTGTTTATAACAGTGTCTTTTTTTGTTATTGTTGTTGATGTTGTTGAAATTTCGAAAATATTCATTTTTGACCTTCGTCCAATTGCGAATTTGACCGATTATAATGCAGTTGAAACTATGGCGAGTAAACATCGCCCTCAAAGACGAATCGAGAACCGTTTTCCACGCAATGCAAATTGTGTACACATCGAACCACCGATTGGATGCGATCAATGAGATAGGACACAAATAAAATCAAAACAACAGAAAAAAAAAACTCTCGACAAAAAATAGAATTCAATTCAAAGTGGAAATCTGCGGTGTTATTCTGTTGTTGTTGTCACAGGCGATAACACCGAACACACCGCCGGTTGTTGCTCAGTGAAAAATATAAGTAATCAACAGGTCACATTTATCGCACGGAAAGAATATACGTGAGAGAGATGCGACCGAATTGAAGAGAGCGAGAAAAATGAAATTATCAAAAATGGACTATTCGCGCGCGGAAACATAAATTATGAAATATGATACGGACACAAGTGTTTGTTTGTTTGTTTGTTTATTGTATGGAAATAATGACAATGTCATTATTTTTAATAATTTTTCGTATATTTATAATATTGATTATGCAAACCAAGATATAGAAGGTGAAGATGGGAAAAAAAAACTTCTGATGCGATTATGCATTTCGAAATTGGATTATCTTCTTAATTATTTTCAGTATAAATAGGTGGTGAATTGCAAGGTATAGTCAGTCGAAAACATGAGGACGATCATAAGTGTTCTGTTTGTTAGCATCTTAGCGGGATCGTACGCTTTCTACAGCGATCCCACGCATTTCAAAAACGCCGATAATAATGTTTTGAGCAAGCAAGCATTGCTATTCGAATTGCTGCAGCATCCTCATCAACCGGGCGTCTCAATCTATAAACCAGAATATTCGAATATTGTGAACGCGTTCGACTTGGAGCACAGCTACGAATTATTCCGCAACACTGATGCGATCAAAGAATTCTATTTCTTCTACAAAAAGGGATTGATTCCATACAACGAGTTATTCTCAATCTACAACGATCATCATCGGCAACAAGCCATCGCTTTGTTCCACGTGTTCTACTATGCCAAGGGTGAGTTTATTTTGTTTAAACATTTCATTTCAACGAACCACTTTTCAATGTTCTGAACAGCTAAAATTCGTTTATTCGTCCCATTTTTAATTCGATTCATACAATTGGTTCAATTGAATGATAAATTGTTAAAATTGATTCAAAAAACGATGATTTGTTCAAATTCTTTCCGCTAAAAAATCATTTTCACTTTCAGATTGGGACACATTCTACAAAACAGTTCTCTGGGCCCGATACAATGTGAATCCAGGACTGTTCGTTTACGCTTTGAACGTTGCTGTTTTGCACCGCCCTGATTTTGCCGGTTTGGAGTTGCCGATTATCTATGAGATCTTCCCACACTACTTCTTCAGCTTCGATGTGATTCAACGCGCTCAATTGTACAAACAGCAAGGTTTCCATGGTGTTAAAAAAGTCGACGGTGTCTACAATTTGGTCCTCTACGCCAACTATAGTGGTCAATATGTTTACAGCTATGAAGATCAAGCAGTGTCATACTTCCTCGAAGATATTGGCTTGAACGCATACTACTACTATTTCAATTTGGATTATCCTATGTGGATGGGTGGCCAAGAATACAATTTGTACAAGGATCGCCGCGGTGAATACTACTTCTACTTCCATCAACAATTGTTGGCACGTTACTATTTGGAACGTTTGTCACATGATTTGGGCTACATTCACGAATTTAACTGGTGGACGCCAATCTCTGCCTACTACCCGAACATTCGCACTTACTACGGCCAACCATACATGTCACGCGAACACGGTCACGTCGTCGACCAAGAGGGTTCACACTACGATGTTGAATACATCTACGCCTATGAACAACGTTTGCTCAATGCCATCGATTCGGGCCAATTCTTATTGGCCAACGGCACCTACTACAACTTCTCATACCCAGGTGGAATTGAATACTTGGGCAATTTGATCCACGGCAATCCAGACAGTTTGAACCTTCGTTACTACAACTACATGTACTACGTTTACAAGACATTCGGCCACTATTTCGGCAAATACTACCACTACACCGGTGAATATCCATCCGTCTTATACCACCCCCAAACTACATTGAGAGACCCAGCATACTGGATGTTTTTGAAGCGCGTATTCAACTTCTATTACAAATTCATGACACATTTGCAACCATACACCCACCAAGAAATCGGTTTTGATGGCGTTAAAATTGAATCCGTTGAAGTTGACAAGTTGATGACATATTTCGATTACTTCGATGCCGATATCTCGAACGCTGTCGACATTGAATACTATAATCCTGAACATCTCTCCGATTTGCGTCAATTCGGCCGCCTTTCACACTACAACGGTGAAGATTTCGTGATCAAAGCACGCCAATGGCGTTTGAACCATCTTCCATTCAAATTGAACATCAATGTTGTTTCACAATTGGCAACTCCATCGGTTGTTCGCATCTACTTGGGTCCAAAATACGATGAATACGGCCATTTGATCACCCTTAATGATAATCGTTACAATTTTGTATTGTTGGACACCTTCAAATATGACTTAACTGCTGGCAATAACTTGATCACTCGTGAATCTCGTCAATTCTTTATGAATGTTAAAGATCGTACCACATACTATGATATGTACAAATGGCTTATGTCGGCGAGCACTGGACAAAAACCATGGCCTATGGACAATACTGAGGCACACTCGGGCTTCCCCAACCGCTTGATCTTGCCAATGGGCAAGAAAGGAGGACAACCATACCAATTGTTCATCCACATTGCACCATATCACGCACCACAAGTTCCACAATACAGCACCTTTGATGCATCCATCTCGACTGGCATCGGATCCGGTTCCCGTTATGTCGACTCATTGCCATTATACTATCCATTGGATCGTTACATCGACGAATACTACTGGTACACACCAAATATGTACTACTATGATGTCAACATCTATCACAAAACCGAAATCTAAATGTTTACAGTCTAACCCCAGTTGCATTCTATAACCATTGTCAACCAGAAAAATATCATCACACTCATTCATTAGACCGATTAACGTCAACCAATTCAACAGCCCAAATATTTTAACTTTTGATAGTTTCAACTGTTTTAACTTATAATTTAGTAGCCTCACTCAAATACATTTCACAGCGCAAAAGTTCGTTTCTCAACGATAAATTCGAATGTGTTTTATTTGATTCTTTTTTTTCATTCACTTTCATTGGGACTCTTGTCTTGATATTTCAGCCAGTCTTTGACATAAATTTCGCATAGAATTGATTGATTTGTGAAAAATGAAAGCGATATCCAAACAGTACTCAGGCAGATTGGTGTGTGCACAGCTTTAAGAGTTAATGAAAGTTGCATGCAGCAGGCTATTAACATTAATTGCACTCATGTAGTGGATTTTTTTAAAATATTAACCGGTTTCAAAACAATTCAAGAATCAAAGTCAAAGTCAATCTAAGAAAAAAAGCATAAAATTACTCATTAAATTACTGTGCTTCCACTTAAATCCAATAGATGCTACAGTAAATATTTGTTTACACTTTAGCAAAGCGCGTTGTAACACAGAGCATTATTGTCGTTTGTTTGGATTTACTGCTGGGCGTCTCCATCGATGAGCTATGGAACATGACTTCGGTAAGCTCCAGCGATGGAATCGTTTAAAAATTAATCGATCTTTTGTTTATTCATTTAAATCCAATTTAATGATACACTCACTATTCTGGGCTTCGGATGTTCAACAACCTCAATGGATTTACGCCATTTATTGAATTATAAATTTGCTGTGAATTAATTAATACCAACGTGTGTAGGTTTCCAATATAAACCTGTTTAATTGATGAACTTGTAAGCTCGATGCTAGCAGAAAATTGCATGTCGGAACGGCTACTCACTTTTTTTTACAAAGGGGTTTAATATGTCTTTGAATGAGTTTTCATTCTTATGTTGAGATAAATTGAATGGTTTCTTCAAAGATAAGGAAATGCTTTAGAAAATGGCTTTAATGAGTATCCCATCGTGAACTCCTTCATTTGAGCAAAACAGTAAGTGGAGGTTCAATTCGGTCGGTAAGTTTTGCAATAAGTCCGAAGTAACATTACGGCTCAAAAAATACAACATGCTTTTTTTATGTCAGAAAAAGAAGTTTTTTCATTTAATTTTATTTATTTATTTTTTATTTTTATTTTTTATTAAATACCTTTTTTTCATACTGATAAGACATCTCACTACTAGTCTTACCTTGGCTATAAAAAAAATGTTGGACAGAAAATGTACGGCTAAATTTCACTGTATACTCTTCGAAGTATTATTTCCTCAATGGAATCGTTTGCTTAAAATTGATGGCAATTTCGAAACGTGCCTCAAATGGCCGATCGATCAAAATAATCTATTTAGCTTGCCTTTGCAATGTCGTATATTGTGGTGATTTCCAATTCGTTTAAAATGGGTCACACCACTTGAGCCTTAAACGAAAATTGCGCTTATTTATGTATTGTATAATGTATGTTCCAAGCAACATCGATTTGAATTGTTACGTATCGTCTCTACGATGCCGCAAATTCTTTTTAAAGTGGACTTTTTGAATTTATTCACACATGAGCACACTGCGACCCCGAACTGCAAAGAGACGTGAATTGACTCAATGTGAAAAATTGAAAAAAAAAAAAAGAAAGAGAGAATGAGAAAAATGTCTTTTCCAAATTTTTGACTGACAAAACTAGGATTTCGTTCAAGTGAGTTTTTGCTGTATAATTTAGAGAGAACAATGTATATCACATCGTTGCAGATATGAATTCTAAAAACCAACGCATAAATCGTGGTCATTCAACCCAAACAACAAATAGAAGCATTAAAGTTTTGAAATAAAATTTTGATCACAAGTCGAAGCGATTGGTTTATAGTGTAACCCAATATGCTTGTATGAGTACCGCACAAATGCAAATGATTCACAGATCGGCATCGTACAGTTATGCGAGCATACATTTTGATGGATAGAACATTAAAATGTGATTAAAATGTATTCAAATATTGAAAAGTCGAAAGCACGATATGACTTCCAGAAATTCAGAGAATCATTTTAATTTGATTGATTCAATAATATAGTAACGATGGTAAGTAATGACCCTTTTCTGCTTTTAGTTTCCGTTCAACATGAGTGAGTGATATGGTGGTTCAGCATATTTTTCGTGTGACCGGATATATTATTTCCTCAAACATCTTCCATCTAGATGAACTAATTCAGCACATGAATGTGTGTTATTCATGCAATGAGAGAGAGGGAGAGAGAGTGTGAGTGCGCACATACACACAGATGAAAGAGAGCAAAAAGAGCGAGAAAGAGAAACAAAAGAGTTACCAGTAGAATCAGTTTTGTAAATGGTACACATAAAATCACAGTTGTTTCCATGTATGAAAAATCCGAACGAACCAAAAAAAGGAAAGTGTTCTAATATATGAATGGGAATAGCCATTGATATTTTTTGAATTTTTTTTCTAAACGTTTTCTCCATACATTTGTATTTTTTATTGATTGTATAATGTACCAGAACGCCTTAAAAGCATGGATATGCATACTGTATATTGTATAAAGTACCGCCGTTCACACAACCACGTATACATACGGCAGACAGTACACCTAATAGGCAAAGCATACAGTATGCAGATAGCTTTTAGAGAGCTCTGCACACATTTCTATCTGAAGCAATTACACAAGCCAACACGTGTTTTAACAAGAGCATAATAATAATTACATTGATTAGATTTTGAATTTCTCCATGAAATCGAAGTCAAAGGCTTTCAATTAAGCTCGACTTGTAATTATGCAATTGCAAATGAAGTCAAAGGATCTTTGAATCGGGTGATTTTAATTGAGCAATGCCTTTCTCAATCTCTATTGAATAATTTTAGCCACTTTACATCTATTACTTTATCCATCCGCTTTACCGGTTCGAACTTACTCATATAATTCTCTTGCTCTATCACTCATTTTGCTGGTCTTGCCCATTTCGTTTGCAAAGCGAGAAAGAGAGGGGGGGGAAAGAGAGAATCGACATAAGCCTCAGTAATTTGTTAAGTGAACTAATTACATCGGCGATATACAATGAAGCAGCTATGGCCACAAATAAAACAAAATTACATAGATCAGAAGTTCAAAAATGGCAATAGAGAGTGCCATTGGGTGACGGAGCTATTGTTCCGAATCGAATTCTATCTTATATTATATGAGATAGAGTGATACAGATTGGGTGGATGGTGTCCAAAAGAGACAATATTAATACAATAAATTGACGTTTCCGTGCCCTCTAGATACAGATCGGATCGCATCAGTGAATAGAGTTCGAGAGAGATATTGTGTATCAGTATTCATGTGCGTGCGGCAAAGACCTAAATCATGTATTTTATCTGCTATTAGAAGTGTATCAGAAGACTTTTGCGATAATCCGCTTTTCGCAACGAATGGAAAATGAAACTTGATGAAAAGTGAACGTTTTCACCTCTTCTGTGGCCCAAAGTGAACAAAGTACCAATGCGCTCGTCTTCAGTTTTACTCTACATAGCGATTGCAAATGGCTATGTATATTGAAGAATGTTACAGGTTGTGTGTGAACTTAACATTGTCAAGTGCTTATTACTCTAGATGTGTGTTTTTTTCGTGCTGTTGACAGTGCAGCGATGATGCACTTGGGCATCTCTGTGTACGTACAGACGAGCGAACAATAACAATAACAAAACCATATGAAAAAAAAATCATTAAGCACGGTCGTCGCTTGGACAGCTATGCTTTTATGTTTCCATGGCACATTCCATGCACCATATCTCGCATGTGATGTTTACTCTCACTCTCACTCTCACACTCTCTATATACCATGTGTGTTGTGTTGTTATAACTGGAAAATATAATGTTCTACTTCATTGCCAACCATAATTCATCCACGAATAAAAGAAGAGGCTATTTCGTGTCTTTTCCTAAGTCTTAGTGAGATTCGTATATTCTTCGTGTGTATGTGCGAGAGAGAGAGAGAGAGAGAGAGAAAGAGAGAGAGAGAGAGAGAGAGAGTCATAACCCAAGTGCTTTTATCATAAAAAGTTTTATGTTAAAAGTATAGGCCAAATATGATGCTCTGTTAAACAGCCACCATATCTGCTGTAATGCTCACTCTATGGAATATGTTTTCTTTTATCCCATGAAATCAAAATAAGAGGAAAAAATATGAATCCAGTGTCTCTTTCCCTTGCGAGAATCATCATCTTGTTACTTTGTAACGCGCATACAAAACTCAACAACTATGTGAAATACACATAATTCTGTGCCTGACGCGTGCAGAATCATATATTTTCACCTAAAAATGTTATGAAAACCCTCTTCTAACCACTTCTTATTGCCACTTTGAGCGCCTAAAATGCAAATAAAATACAGATTTTTTTTTTCTTCGCAGAAATGTGTGACACAGAGCGAGTTTACTCGGCTTAAGTGAGAGAAACAGAAAAGATGATACTAGAGAAAAGGGAGAGAAAGAGTCAAAGAGTAATTGAATATATATGAAACCATTTGTCAAAAAGTTCCAGTTTGATTTCGCTGCTGGGAGTGAGATTATATTTGTGAATTCCGTTGACGGTTTCCAGCTGAGTGTCATCTTGAAGTTTTCGCATATAATATATATTCCTTCTCGGGAGGATTTTATCTCATTTTATTGGCACTGATGCCCTGTAGTTGTGGAATAAACATCCGGTGAATCCGAATTTACGTTTTTCCTTTCGTTCTCATGACATGGCATCGATGGCGCGAGAACATGGCATTCGCAACGCCAACAAGTAACACACATTTTCTTAAGAATATTTTTATCATATAAAGTTTTCCGCTTTAATGTCACATGCTTTTATGTTGTTTCCGAATGAAAAAGTGCGAAATTGCCCATTAACTCAATGCTTATCTCCTAAGCACACGCTCTCACACCATTTTTCGTCAACAAATTTCAATTTATGATTCGGAATAGGCAATACGATCAGATCACGTTGCAAGCACGTAACATTCCAATTATAACTTTGATCTGTGAACTGCGTCGTCGCGTCAAATCTTTCTCATCAACATTGTATCGGTTAGCAAACACGTGAACTAGACACATTTCAACGTTCTTGAAGCTAACGCGCTGAGCTAAACCTGAAATCAACGATATTTCCAATTATAGACAATAACCATGTAATTTGCGTTTGATATTGAAAAAAATTCAGCTATTTAATTAGCATGGAAAAAAAAATGTATATCTCTCTATCGTGTGCGCCCGTCGATTTGTGAAATACACTTTCAGTTATCGAATCGATACGAAACGCAATAGATGCATCAACTACCGGCAAAACAATGATCGCTCTCATTTTTGTGATTTTTTTGCGTGTCGCTTTCACATCATCGGATCAAATGGTGAATATATCAATTAAAAGTTTGCTGCCTTTTAAACCGTTAAGCTCAAACTTTTATCCGTTTTATAATATCGTATAACAAAGTTGGAGAGAGCGCATAAGGCGGGCGCATCGATTGAGTGTCATTATGTAACGACTGAAGATGGATACATTTTACGGCTTTATCATATCCCACCCATGCCAAATGCAACCACCGGATCAAATGAAACCAAAACGATCTTCTTCATGCATGGCCTGCAATCGTCCTCATTGGATTATGTCATTTATCCCAATATTTCATTGGGTAAGTATTGTTCGTGAGTTTATCAAGTGATTTGAAAAATATAATTTTTATTGAAAAAAGGAGAAATTGTGAAATTAAGAAGAAACTGTTTAAGATGCAGATGGTTTTTTGAATAATTGTACATATACTGTATATCAACGAATCAATGACGGAAAAAAATTAGTTGTAAATAGTTGTGAACTCAACCAATCTGAATTAAATTTTACCACCTGTTTATCGCGTGAGTGGCATTCTACAGTTTTCAGCACATATTTTGCATTTAATCAACACGAGATTATATGCGGGTGTATACATATACAATTAATATATTCCACAGCTTCTTATACGAATCTAAATTGTATGAACAATTGCATTTTGTTTATCTTACACATATTATAATTCAAATGTATTTCAATATTTAGTTTGCTGTTCGTTATCACTATTTACAAAATGTCAATTGTGCAATGGAAATCCGTGATGCCGCGAGACATTGCAACGTCATGGAACTGTCAACTCATTAAAAAATATGCATGTATCTAAATTGAAAAATTCATGCGCTACTTAAAAAAGCTGAATGATCTTGAACGCTTGCAAGCGTTATTTATGCGTATTCTGAATTTAAACTTGAATTTTCTTGCATATTAAATATAATCTCCAATGTATAATACACAAGAATTCTCATCTCTTTGAACGCAACATTTGTTTCATATCAAATTGGCAAAGCGAATAAAATTAACTCATTCAATTGTGTCTATGATACAAATAATAGGTTTTGTTAGAGATATTATACGGCGTTGTGTTGGAACGTGTTTGGGTTTTAGCGCGTGAGCCCAATGCACATGAATTGGCCTTTGTTTGCAAGAAGCATCAACATCAAATGCTCAGTCAACATATTCTAGTGTTTAGCATCGTATCATTAAAATTGCAGTTCCTAGTTTGTTTCACTAAAAATCGATTATGCTTTTGTTTTATTTGCAGGATTTTATTTTTCGTCACTTGGTTTCTCAGTCTGGTTCGGAAACGCTCGAGGAAATACATTTTCACGGAATCACACCACACTCGATCCAGATAAAAGTCGATTTTGGTCGTTCAGTTTCCACGAAATAGCAATCTATGATTTGCCTGCACAAATTGATTTCATTCTAGCTCAAACCAATCGAACACAACTCATTTACGGTATATTCGCAAACAGGAACAAAAAGTCGCGTTTCTTGGTGTTAGTGATTCTTTTTCTTGATTCTGACCCAAAGTGCAATTTTGACAAGTAACAGATTCTTTTTCGGAAAAAAAAAATTTCGCCGCTGTCAAATTCGCACCAAAACAACCAAAAAATTTGTCGACGAAAAAATTGTTTCATAGAAGCAAAAAAAATTTGGGCCAGATTCAAGAAAAAGAATCACTAACACCAAGAAACGCAACTTTTTTTTTTCTCTATGTGCGGTTATTGTCTTATCACTATGTGTACAATGTACATTGGTGTGTAATCACTGTGTAGTGGAGCTGGTTATATTAAGCATTCCAGATAGATCCGGGCAAAAGCCAAGATTTTTTTTTCCAAGGATTCGAATTTTCCGGAAATTTTTCACGAATTCGTTAATAGTTTATATGCATACGTCTAAAAAATAAAAATGGTTGGAAAATTAGGAAAAATTTTGAAAATGAGGAAATCGCTATAGAAGGAAAATGGAAAATTGTGACAAAGTCCATTCGATCGGGCGGAAAATTTCATGAATGTGAAGACCCCAAGGATGAAATTTTCTGCCTAGAATCAGCCGTTTGCGAGGAAAAAACAAGAAACGCGAAAAAACCCGATTCTATTTGGAATGCTTAGGTTATATCCATTGCGTATCTTATAAGTGAACAAAGTTGTACTACATAAAAATAATTTCTAAACAAAAACAATCATCAACAACGACGAGTTGCAACCGACAGAGAGTGAGCTATATGCATTAGCATATACAGTTAATGAATCTGTGTCTGATGAAACTATAAAAACGCAAACATACGCTACGATAAACATTAAAAAAAAGTCTGTGCCTGTGAGAACAAGAACAATAACAACAACACCAATTTCGAATGTATTTTTCAGTTGGTCATTCGCAGGGCGGGAATATCATTTTTATTTTGCTTAGCGAACGACCGGAATACAATAAAAAAATTGCACTTGTACACGCCATGGCTGCAGCTGTGTTTATGGTAAAAAGCGATTCCAATGCGCTGCTAAATCCACTGTTGGATAATTTAGACGATTTAAAGGTTTGGTTTTTCAAGAAAAATGCAATTAAATCTCCCATTAAAAGCCAGCATACAGTGTAGTAAGATATTTCTTCTCTATTTGACAGATTTTCGTGGAACAAATTCAATTTTACGAATTCAATAGCTTTCGAAGAAATTCGAAATTTCTCCAGCCTCTGGGTGAATTATGCACCGATCCATTCGTTACCAAGCTTTGTGAATGCATACTAAGTCATCTGTTCGGTTCATTTGCACCGGGCAGCTATTATAAAGTAAATAGCAAACAACCAAACGATTTAAATTTTAGAATGAGAATTTAAAAAAAATGAATTCAAATCGAAGCAATTACACGAAATCAATTAATTGAACGAAAAGTACAACATGAACGAAGTTACATTAATAAGTATCGTTTAATTTTAAACTAGGAATTGTTACGAGAATATTCATCTATAAATCCGAGCGGTAGCAGGTAAATTATGGGCATGTTAATTCCTTAACCATTCTACCACATATTAATTTGACGAAGAATTCATTTTCATTTTCAGCTATATGCAATACGTACATTTTGGCCAACTTTTTGTATCAGGTGAATATTTTGAGAGTGAAATTTTTAAGAAAAAGAAAAATTAGAAGAAAAAAAATACAAAAGAGATACCGAGAGAAATGAGACCGAAAAACAGAGAGTAAATCCCTTCCATAAATCATTGTGCTCTTGAGAAAAATCGACATTTTTTCTACATTTTCATTCCGATTTGAATAATTTACGCTCCAACCGGTGTCATCTAAAATTACTTAATTCTCAGAAATTTTGGAAATTTGAACCAATTCTTTTTATTTCGTTTTTTTGTGGTCTCTTTTGTTGTTGATAGGACGCTTCCAGAAATTCGACCATGGACCTAATAAAAATATGAAGCTGTACAATAGTACAAAACCGCCAGAGTATAACTTATCAAATGTCCAAACCAAAGTGCACGTTATGTTTGGTACAAATGATAATTTGGTTGTTCCAGAGGTAGGTTTTTCCAAACGTTTTTAGTGTGTTTGAATAATTCACTCTTTCATCTCCATAGTAATATTTGTTTTTGGTTTTCATTGAATTCTTCCAGAGTATACCAAAATTATTAAGCAAAATAAACAAGAATGTGGTTGCGGTGGACGAAGTGACTGATTTCAACCATTTAGATTTTGTTATGGGTCGTCTTGTACATAAAATTCAAGCGATCATTCTACGGGTCATAAATGCACATACGTAAACCATATGGAAAATGTAAACCAAATAGAAAGAAATTTTCAACCAACAAAAAAAGCAATATCGTTGCGGATGTGTGTGAATAAAAAGAGTTTATTTTCGAAAAAAAAATTCGGAAATATTAGTTTCCGAATATTTCTTTTTCTATCTCTTGAATCAGTCCATAAAAATCAGCCACACACATCAGCTGTTTTATTACATTTTCAGCATTGTGTCGAATGAACAAGTGAACAAGTATGTGTGTGTGTCTTTAAACATTGTTGAGTCAACAGCACACTCAATTCAACAACAGAAACAAAACTCAAACAAAAACATTGCTACATGGTAATCGCAATAACCATTCTGCCACATATTAATTTGACGAATCATAAATTTTGATGGTGCTTGTTGAACTTTGTTTTAGAGAATGTTTCAAGTGTTTTGTTTAACCAGTGTGTGGATACATTGTCATCAGTAGCGTAGGAAAAGTGTGTTTGAAATTTTCGATATATTTTTTTATCTTTCAGTTATTCTTTTTGTGGTTTTTGCTAATATTTTTTGGGGGGGGAGAAAATTTCATTTGGGAACGGACTGGTTTTAACCCCAAATTCCGCTAGTTATGCCACTGATTGCCACTCAATGTGTATATACACATATGTAACCAGCAGAGGGAAGTGTTTTATTTGTTGCGTTTAGTTGATGAATACTCTTTCGAACGAAAGAGAAAGAGAGGATGAAGAAAAAACGATGATCAAGTCTTCCGAAAAACGATGGATTGCATGAATGTTGTGCATGAGTTTTTTTTTTTCATTTTTCGGGAGCACTTAACATTTGTTCAGAGCAAAACGAGAACTGACCTAAAAATTTTCACTTTATTGCCATATTGTAGCTTTTAAATAGAAATGAAGGGCGGACGGACGCTTTTTCGATTGCGAAACTTGTCCCGTTTTGCCGCTGCAATTCAGCAGAAAAATCGGGACTCATTTGGTAGTAGGAAAAAATCACATAAATCGAGTAGAACATAGTTTCAAAAGGGCTGATTTAGCTGGGATTTCTGAGTTCTATTGAAATTGACAATTAATTTCAATGTGACACTTTGTTTAGCCGTCAATAAAGCAGAATCATAAGAATTGTGTGTAAGATTCGATTAAAAAAATTCCGAATTTGACATTCAGAAGCCATTATTATTAAAATGTGTGTTTGAATGGAAGAAGGAATTTTTTTTCGAAGAAAAAGGTGGTACACGATGCTGATCATGATGATCAATGAATTGTGATTATTTCTTCGTTGTGTTCACTTCAGTCGTTGAATAATTTCGAAGGATTAATGTATGCGTTATAATATTCTACAACAACAAAATGAAAGAAATTAAAAGGATTTACAGGCAGTCGGCAGTTATAGTATTTGGTTGACGTGACTGCTTGACGGTCTCATGGTGGAGCTCTTGCTGTGACTTGAAATTTATATATGTTAGAATATTGTAATCAAATTGAAATCAGTAATTTCCAATTGGGAGCATTTACGCTAATAAAATAAGTTAAAACGTTTTAAGTACTCATTTGATTTTTTTTTTCTGTTCTCCCTCCACTGTACACAACATTATATATATATATGATAACATACATATTTGAGAGAGTTAGTAATTTCTCGAAACAAGTTGAACTGAATTAGGATGTGTAAATTAAATAATAGGTTTCCATGTTCTCGAAAATGAATGCGATGAATATGTTCGTAAAATTCGTTTCGTTTAAAAGTGAGTATTGAAAATGGGAAAGTGGATAAGATAGTGCAGCATGATAATGGTTAAAAGTGTATTGAATTGAACAATTCTTTGAAATGTTTCGAAAATTTGAAAATGGTGCGAGGGACAGAGAGACAGAGCGCTCAATATGTAGTTCCTTTTATTCAATTGAGAAACATCTAAATTGATCATCGGCAACTCTGGACAAATCGTATATATGTATGGCATATACGGTATTATCGCCTCTCGAGCTGAACTAAACTGAACTAAGCAATTTTATTCATTCATTCACAAAACTGAAACTTGAGCATTTTCTAATGCTACAGTCGTTGCATTTCTTTTCTTTCTTTCTCCTTGTCTTTTCTTTTCTGGTACAATGTCGATGAATTGCCTGTAGTTCAAGCATTGGATTGAAAGTTGAGCACACAAAACGATGCTGAAGAAAGATTCAATAAACAAGTTCGTTTGTATATGGTTCATTCTGTCTCTCTTTCTCCTAACATTTTCGAATGCATCAGTTTCCAAAACATTTCAAAGAATGGTTTTCCCTCTCTTTCTTTCTCTCTCTCTCTCTCTCTCTCTCTCTCTCTCTCTCTCTCTCTCTCTCTCTGTTGCTCAAATTATTCTTTTGTCGCCTGTGTATTGTGTTTTTGTCTTTGGCTTTTGAACAAATCTTTGGGCGTTCGCCCGTTCAGGAATGGACGTGTGGTTGTGTGAGCTTACTCCGACATTGCTTATGTTTCCGAGGGAATAAAGCAGGCAGAGAGACATAAAAGAACAATAAAAATGTCATTTTGTGTGAATGTTACATAAAAACAAGCGTAAACAAGCCAAGTATTCGAGGGATCTCTATTCGAAAATCTATAGGCAATAATACACTTATTAAAAGAGCAATATGTTTTGAAACTTTGTTGCCACATAGATATTGGATGGCATGTTGGTTGTTGATGCGATTTTTTTTTATTTTCCTCCTATTTAGTTTTTTTCCTCGTCTGTTTTCCGTTCGGCTGCTGCTGATTATTAACAGAGACAGTTTGAGTGAGTGCGAGTGATGAATGTTCTATATGCTGTTTTTGGGATGCTCTGTGATGTGCATAAGATGGGAATCTTTCACATTTTGAATAATTTAGTAGGTCTCATGAATGTACTGCATTGAAAAAAGTGCAGTTGATTTGGTCGCACGCTGGATGACTGGCGGGCTGACTGGCTGGCTGCTTTACAGCATTACATTCGGCAGCTGAGATGATCCGCTCTGCGATTAGAGCAAAACGAGCAGTCAATTGAGTGAGCGTAATAGAGATTGAACCAGAGATAGATTCAATGAGAATGCATTCGACAAATATCAAAGGAATATTATGCGAAAGAACAAAAAAAAAAAAAAAAAAACAAATATAAACACGCTCGCATAAAATCGGAACGCAGCGAATAATGTGAATGTAACACGCACAATCTTATTTTATTGTTCGCGAAGACGAACGTGCATGAGATGTGTGTACGGATTGCGGTGTGTATCACAACACACAATCCATCCTATTGATACACATAATGCGTTTAGCTCCCAAAAACGATGTGCTGCGATAGTATTGTCAATACGTCCATTCACGCGCGCACACACACCACCACAAACACACATACATGCAATGGTAATTGAACCATTCACCAATATATGAATTTACACTGCACGAGCAGCACACCGATTTGGATCCGTCCACGCTACCAGAGTTTATAGTATTTGGATATAAATTCGTTCCTTCTGGTTTCTGTCTCCGACCGAATGAATGCACAACGTATGAGAGACGAACGAATAAACGAAAGAGAAAAACAAAAATTCATCAACAACCAACAGCAACAAACGTAGAAACGCGTGAGAGAGCCGAACGCCCGTATTGTGCGGCACAGCGTTCAACTCGAAAGTACTTTCATTATTATACCCACTTTATATCATATCTTTTCATGGCAGTTTCTCTCCGCTCCTCCACTCTTTAATGCATGCTGTTGTATGTGGTGTATATACATTGTGACGATACATATACGGTGTATGTTTTGTGTGTCTCTCCTGTTTGCATCGTCATTGTTGCATCTCATTCCCTCCCGCTGCGCCCTTTGGCCCGTTTACGCTCACGCTCACGCTGATTCGGTGTACTGTTGATGTTGTTGCTGCTGCTTGTGCTTGTGCTTCTGCTGCTGCTGCTGCTGATGCCTTCTCCTTCCCGACTATTATGAGTGAGTTCTCGAAGAGTGCGCCTCGCACCGATAACACTCCGCGCGCTCGCTCGCTTGCTTGCTTGCTTGCTTGCTCGCTCGCTTCGCTACACACATATTTTGAAAAACGGATACTGTAAATGACAATACTAGCACGTTAATATTAGGAGAGAAGAATGTGCATAGAATGTTTTCAGACTGGATTCAGTCGAGTTCCGTTCGTCAAACGCAGTGGATATACGGCGATATTCGTTCAGTGTGCATTCTGGTGTTTCTCTTTCGGGATAGAGTATCTCACGAACAAACAAAAACAAGCAACAACATAACACAAAAAAGAAACAGAAGAAGAGGAATTGTGTGGGAATGGATTAAATGAAGTAGATCGGACATTTCGGAAATTTCGACTATTTAACCATCGGAGGGGCAAAAGCAACATAAATAAATACGACAAAGAGAGAATAAAAATTATTCGTTCTTTTTTTCGGCAATTTTATGCTGCTGAACTTTTGCAAACCGTGCGACAATGATGTGTACGTGTGCAATAATATTTTGCTAGCCATTTAACATTTTTTGTTGTCTCCGTACTGTGTGTACCCGTACTTGAGTTGAGAGAGTTAAATTGAGCTACAAAACAGCAGCAGCAGCAGCAGCAAGCAACGGCTGACGACGTGAGCGAGAAAAAATAAAATAAAAATAAAATAACAACAACCGAAAATTGTGAAAATACTCGGTTTATATCCACCTCTCTTTGTATATGTTCCTCCCATAAACAATTGGCTTGACACAGGGATTTTGGGAAAACAAAAACACAACGCATCATCTTGACAATTTTCGTTTCGTCTAAACAATAAGTTTCTTAGATACGGCGAAGGAGCACGGAAAAACGCCTGTGTTTTGTTTTAGAATTTTATTGCCATTTGCTCGGAATATGCACACACAAACACCAGATTGTACACTTGCATGTGGTGCCAGTAATACGAAATACCCATGTCAGTGGATGTGAATGGAATAATAAAAGAAACATGAACGATTCGTATTAAAAATCAAATGAAATAAGCCAAACGCATGAACTGGATAGAACAACAGAGAAAAGTTGCGTAAAATAGCGCAAAATAAAAACAACGACGAAATCGGTGTGTATGTGTTTTATTTGATTTTTTTCGGTTTGTGAAATTTCGGGTAGCAAGTGAGAAGAGGCTCGAGCCCAAAAAAGGATATCTACGCCACCGTGCCACCGTGATAAAAAAAAAGAAGAGTGAGAGTTGTGTGGAGCAGTAACGGCAAGAATAAAGATCAATCGCGAAACAAAAGTAAACGAAAAGTGCTTTTAATAATGTGAAAGAATGTGACATCATGACAATCTTATCTGTTTGCAACGGATGTCATGATGTTTGCTTACCGGAAAAAGTTTAAATATCCAATTAATTATATTGAAGCATTAACGCAGCAACAGTCGGCACAATAGAAAAAGGGGAAATCTGTCTCTCACTCTCTTTCTCTTTCCCTCACTCTCTTTCGTTCTCAACTTGTTCGAAATTTTTCTAGCGAAAACCATCGAAACGACAGAAGCACAGTGTGTGTTTGTAAAACAAAGTAGTCTTTGTATAACATTGCAATTGTTTTAAGTACAAACTGAAAGAAAAGCATTCGATAAAGTGAGTGTATGAGTGTATTTTCAAGCGTAACAATTAAAAGTGCAAAAATTGAATAGTTGGCCGAAACCGAAAAAAAAACGTTTATTCAAACATTGAAACGATACACATTTGGATTGTGCAATTGAGAGTAGTTAATTTGAAAGAAGCTGAAGCTACAGAGCAAAAAAGAAAAGAAAGAAAAAGCAGTTTGAAACAAACGAAATTGAAATGGGGAAGCTATTGAATCCTCCAGAGAAATCTGGAGGCTCTCCGCTGCTGGATCAAAAAACACCAACAAATTATGAACGTAGTTCAATAACCAACAATAGTGGAAATATTCTCGTTTATATAATATTAATGTTTTCGTTGAGTTTTTCTGCATATACATTTCTACGACAAACACATTTTGAAAATAGATATAGTCATTTAGACAAACGAATATCGATAGTTGAAGATAAGCTTCGGCTATTCCCGTTGGCATTTTTAAATTCATTGGCCAGAACATCGGTATTACCATCGATATCGTCATCGAAATCCTCATCGTTAGCAGTGACCGTCACACCAAATGCATCAACAATGGATTCAACAGTGCCCGAAATCGATTTAATTACAGATACATCCGATACGAACACCGATAACGATGATGATGATGGTGCCATCGACAACGATGAGCAATTTGCCCATATTTTACAAAAGCTATCCTTACAAGTATCGGGCATTCAGCGTTTACGCCGCGACGTTTCTCACTTGAAAGCATCTAGGCGTGGTGAACGACAAGCATCTGTTCATCCAACGGATTGTACGTGTCCAGCAGGTAATAACAATAGCCGGAGCGCGTTCGCTCTATGCACACAAAAATACAACAACAATAAACTGAATGGTAACACACAAAAAACACCCAATAGCACGTAGGAATTGTGAACGAATGAATATCTGAAAATAAACACACAATTCAATCAAAAGCAGCTCAAACAGAATAAATCATAGAAATTGTGTGGATGCGATGAATGTGTATTTGTGTGCTGTTTGTAGTTTTTATTTATTTATCTTGTGTGTGCGCACTTTTTTTTCTGTCATCATTGTTGTGTGTGGATGCCGTATCCATTTTGCCGTTCACTGCATATATTCTCTCTCTCCATCTCTCTCTATCGGTCACGATGCAATCGGAATAGATTATTTGAAAATACCGAGAGATGCGAGGAGACGAGATGTTTCCAAAAAAGCGAGGTGTTAATTAACATTTTGTGGTTAATCGGAACAAAGTAAGGGCAATAATTTTGTAAATAGATCCCAATATTTAGACACACCATCGTTGTTCCGGTGATTAAAATTGATTTCGCTCCAAAAACATTGAAACAAACAAATAGCATTTTCTGCGTTGATTGATCTCGCTCCCTCTCTCTCACACACGCATACACACCCAACAAACCCTCCCCGTTTGATTTTTTATTGTTTACAATTACGCGCGCGGATTCGGTCGTGTTTCATTACACCGCTGTGTGGCATCAATGGTTGTTGGCTGCTCGGTTGAATCTAATCAAGCGCGCGCGCGAGCCAGTTCGTATGCAAAATACATGCATCAAATGGTGCACTACGTGCCACATAATCCTTAGAAGTGATAGCGCACTATTCAATTGAGCTCGATGAGAAGCACAATGCACAATGCATATAGGTGTGTTGCATTTTGGTTTTGGATACAATTGCAACAGCAGCCGTAAGTCTGTTGACCTACGGTGTTACGGCGTTACGGCGTTACGGCCTTTCCTACATGCTTTATTATCGCCTTTATGTATTCAATATATTGTGAATGTATATTGTCTTGTTGTCTTGTTCACTCTCTTTTGCTGGCTCTTTTTCTTCAACATGTTATGTGTGCACTGGTCGCTTGCTCGTTCCTTTTTCCCCGTTTTCAATAATATTGCTGGCATTTTGGCCACCCACATTACAACGCAAGACACTTAAGTGAATCGCTTATAAGATTTGGATGTAAGTCAGATACACACGACCTCCAAAATGACTTCATTTAAACTCGAATATCCAAGATAAAAATAGCGTTTTGAAACAGACAATTCTTGCACGCATTTCTTCTCTGTGTAAATATCACATCGTTTTCTATATACTGATTTGTGTTTTTTTTTTGTTTCTGTTTCGTTCATTCGTTGTTGTCTTACATAAAGGAAAAAGGCTACTTCATCACTCCTTCTCTCCGACTGCACCGCATATATCTATCTGTGATATTGCTGTGCAAGGAAAAGAGCAAGAAAGATGCGACAAAAGTATCTTAACCAAACACCCATAAATAAATGTATAGCCAGTGCAAGCGACACGAGATGGAGCAAGCCAAAATTGTAAGCGTGTTACTGTGTCTCTCACGTTTCGCCGTTCTTCCGTTCTCTTTCTCATCTCTCTCCCTCCTCTATCTGTCTTTCTCTCTCTCTCTCTCTCTCTCTCTCTCTCTCTCTCTCAGCAACATATAGTCTCGGTCACCTTTTTTCTCTCTCTCTGTCTCCTTGTCTCGTTGTTATTCGAGCAACAATCGATGCTGCGCCACTCACAATTTTAAAATTGTGTATATATTCCACAAGCAACAGAACATTACGAAAATATGTTCTGGTTCGCTGGTTTTATTTGTTTGTTTTTGCTTCCAATGCGTACGCTAAATATACACGCTTCCTAGGGGATAGACACCCACAAACAAATCGAAGTTATCTTCGAAACTTCAAGTTAAATTCAACTTGAGCTCAACGCACTAGACTCGCGTCTGTTTGTTCCGAAGAGTCGTACACATGCGTATATACGTTGCGATTGTCCGTACCGCTCCACTTGACCGTCAATGTAGCAACGCATGTGTACGACTCTTTGGTACGCACAGACGCGAGTGTGATGCATTGCGCCCAAGTTAAATTTAACTTGAAGTTTCAAAGATAACTTCGATTTGTTTGTGGGCACTAGCTCTGGAATGTTGTGAAACGCGCACCGATTCACACCTTTCGACATACCACATCCTTATTCATCTTAAACTCTCTCGATTTTTCGTTCATTCGCTCTCCATTTCCAAGAAGATGCACCTCACTCGTAACATCGCTGTAATTCTCATTGAAGTCTTCGTTGTTGTTTTCTCGGCCAACACATGTCACATGTACACACTCTATTGACATTCTATGCTTATAAATAGGATCTGTGACTTCGATACAGAGATTAGGCGCTTTTCGACTGCTGCGAACAATGCGTGAATGTAAAACGCTTCGTTTACACTTTTGTTCGAGAAATAAAAGGAATTGTTGTACTTTTATCAATGTTGCAAGCGCTTGCGCTAGCACGAGAAAACAAAATTGATTACTTTACAAACATTCGAAACAAAGAAAAACGAACGATTAAGAAGTTTGTGGAAAAAGAAACATTCTCAACAACAAATTCAAAAGTAAATTCCATGAAACCGAACGAAAAATGAATTTAAATTTAAATGCAGATGAAAAATATTCGAAATACAATTTCAACTGAAATCCCATCGGATTAAACATTAACATATTCCGTTCGACGAAAATCCATTGTGTTTTTTTTTTCACAAAAAGTTTCGAGTTTCTATAATTATGCACAATAGAGAGACAATTTAAGCTCGGGATGGAAAAATTTGCATAGTTGTCGCCAGACGCGAGCAACCCCTGGCCAATCCCAAATTTACATAGAAAAAAATGAAAAGGCAGTTGCATACTGTTATGGACCACATCGAGATCGAGCGTGTGTACGAATTATGAATTGAGAGAAGAGTATGCAGGAGAAATGACGTAAGCATTATCTTTCTGTTACTTCTATATGATTGCATCGCATCATGTGCAATAAAGTTATAAGTGAAATTTCTACGGGAATGCCAAGAGAAGTTTGCAATTCATAATATTACAAAGGATAAAACGCACTCTTACAAACAGTTTTTTGGCCACATTTTTTGTGGGCGCTTACCAAGCAAATGGAATGGGACAAAATATGATGGAAACATATGCGAGGAGAATGGGGGTGAGAGAGAGAGAGATAGAGAGCAAGGTAGAAACGAACAGAAAAAGAGCGAAATTATGTATGTATTGCAGATCTAGAACTCGAATCTCTGTGAGACGACCATCACAGCAAAGGGCTCGCGGCGAACGGTCTTGTTTGATAAATTATGCATGTGTATTTAGAATATTTTGAATGTTTGACTAATTTGTGACCAGCAGATATGATAATATTTGCAAACGGTTCGTGACGTGTTCTATGCTTCTGCCGCTGCTGTCGCCGCTATCACTACCTTTAATGTCCGTATTCTATGTCTGTTTTGCCAATGGAGAGAAGATAAACGCAGAAATTTCTCGTGTGCAGAGAATAAATGACAGACATAGACTTTTCAGCAAATAATTTACCTAGTAATTCTTATTTATGTATTTAGTCGTATTTTGTGTAAACTATTTGGATAGCAACCAAACGCATAATTATGCACAATTATCTTTGGTCTATTTCACATGAAATACATTTAGCAGGTTTTGGGTTGTAAGTTTTCAATTTGACACACAATTATGAAACATCCTGTATATGTATGTAACTATGGGTGAGATTGAGAATGGTAGAAGTTTCACAAACTGTGTATTGGAATAAGTAGAATATGTTTTCAAGAGGTCAGAAAATTTTGAAATAATTCATTGATTTCAACATATATAGGTTAAATGTCTTTTGCAAAGTTGTACAGGTTGACAAGACCAACAGTTTTTGCGGAGACGAAAATTCGATATTTCTTGTCATTGAATTAGAAAATGCTATAAACAAAGAGTGAAGCATACTCTTCTTCATCAAAACATAAGTCGATGAAAACATACACTACACTCAATCTCAAACATAGATATACCAGCAAAGCTAAGCGATTTGAAACCGCTTGCTTGAATATATTCAATGCTATTATATAGCGAATCAGGCATGCAGACAGATACAAATCCACATTGCTTTCACTATCCTTCTTTTCAGATGGAAATATCTATCGTCTTGTCGGAAATTTTAAAATGTTTATACCATTTTTCACGCAAAAATGCCATTTCATCTTCTATTTTACCTCATTTCTTACTCCCTTTTTCGCACTCTCACTCTCTCTCTCTCTCTTTCTCTCTCTCTCTATCTCTCGGTTAAGAGATCGACTGAGACCTTTGTCACGTTTACAGTATTTGTGATTTCGAGGCATTAGTGATTTAAATCTCGGAGCAACCATTGTGACATGAAATAACAGGCGCTTCACGCTCTTTTCTACCCAAAAACATACAAATACACAAAAATATACCAAAAAAAAGTCTCGCATCCATATTCTTCTCGAAACCTCATAGACACTGATTTTTTCTTCCTCCGTTAACAACATAAATAAAAATGGCTTTGAATAATAACTCGAACTTTGTTGTCACATTTATATGTTTGTCCTCGACTCAATCTCTTTTTTTGAAACATTGTTCATTCTTTTCTCCAACTGGTGACACTCGTTTGTTGTTTCTGTTACATTTCGTTTTGAAATAAGTTTTATTGCTGTATTTTTTTTCAATTCCTTTTTTGCTTTCCCCTTCCCAAATGGAGAAAAACATAAAGTGCTTGGAAAATGGTGCGGAATAATTGAGTGTTTTAAGATGTTTGGCGAAGATCCCGTGATTCCAACTAATTTTCATATTATTATATAATTATCACAACATTGCTCTTATGAATGTTGCAATGATGAAGGAGCTTTTAACAATAGAATGCTACTGGTTTTGTTCTTCTATCAAAATCTATCATCGCACTGAATGAGCGAAAGAGATGGCTATAATAGGATTATTTTGAATGGAAACTTTCTTCATTTCCAGTTTGAAATGGTGTGTTTATGTTTCTTCTCTATAATGAAAAAAGTGTGTTGGCCTTTTTTCTGTTATTTTTGGAGGCTCCGTTTCGTGAATTCTATTTCAATAAATTAACTTGCCAACCGAATGTTCGCCTGTTTATTTATTTGTGTGTGTGTGTGTGTGTATCTTTTTTTATTATTCTACTTCTGTCGTGTGATTCTTGCCGTTCTACATTTGCATCGTAGATTGATTTCTTTTTTGTTCGTCATCATCTGCTTTTTCATATTAACTCAAACACAACCGAATACAATTAATTTGATTGTGAATGTTCAGGCTCAAAGCAAAAACGATCCGAATTTTAATGCAAATTCAAAGGGAATAACAACCAACGAGGAAACCTTTGTACATTGTCAAATAGGATCTTTTGTGTAAATATTGAATCAAGTTCTTTATATGTCGCTCTCAGACAAGAGAAAAGCAAGAGAAAGATGCGCGAGCGTGAGCGACACTAACAACAACGACAATGAATGGAAAAGAGCGAGCGAGCTGAAACGGAGATTGCTATTTTTAAGTTAAGTAAACAATGAGAAAATTAAATTGTAGGAAAGTTGATTCGTTTCCTCACATAACCTCAACAGACACACAAACACACTTGAACCTAGATGAATTGTCTGTTTGTTTTTTGCCGTTGCATCGCTCTCGCGCTTTCGGTCTCTCTTTCTCCCTCTCTCGCTCACTCTCTTTCTCTCTGTGAGAAATAATGAAAAATTTGCAACGAAACGCACCTGGTGCTAAATGAACAAAATGCAATTATTATTTTGCAAGGCTTATCCAAAATGGAGCCATGGTGAGTAGAGATGGTTAGAGAGAAAGAGACTGAATAGTAAAACACAATGTGCCGCACAATTGGAATTGTCTTGGCCCAAGTTTAAGGCCATATGACACATGTGTAATTAGCCTCTTAAATCCTCTCACTCCCAACTCTTCTCCATCTCTTTTGCTTGCGCTTCCTTGCTTCTCGCGCAAGGGAGAAAAATAACACAACAACAACAACAACAACAACAATGTATTACATTGCAGGCCGATTGCGTTTTCATAAACTTTAGTCATTTAACATTTATGAGGCATTTGCCGCAGGCTGTAAAACGACATATATATAATTTGCTGGCTCTCCTCCGGCAGCCTTAAGTCATTTTCCACAAAATTGTCTCTGTTTTTTTAGTCTGCGGGTGTAAATGACACAAAACCGGTGTTTTATTCACAATTGACTGCATCGTGAACTTTGCCAATTCAATTTACACACAGTTTCATCTTTCTGTGTGTCTCTGCCTGTTATATTCTCTCTGTGTGTGTCTTGCTGCGTCTTTCTCTTCAGAGTCTTAAGAGAGATGTTGAACGCCCAAAATGGTGCAATTAACTTTCTTGCTTGCGTGCATGCATGCATGTTCATTGAACATTTTGTCATTTCGATTGCGGTAATAAGACAATGGATATATGTTGAACGCTGCTTTGCCACATGCACTTAATCACTGCTTGATCGCATTTCTCTATACACTCGCGTGGAACGCACACTTTATCAATTTGCCATGGAAAATGGACATCAATCAGTGAAGAAATGTTGAACTTTCTTCTTGAATACACACCATGAGTTTTATTTATTCATTACCGATATTTATACGAATTGAATGTTTGAATATCGTTTTTCTGGCTCATGAATGCAAGTCGTTGTCGGCGATTATGTTGCCAAATCGTTTCCCTGTCATACATTCCATCGACTATATCCAGCAAATGATTTCATCTGTGTGCCAACATGGCAATGTGCCACACATTGATTTTCACCCAATTTATGATAATAAATTATTGATTGATCCGGAATTATGTCAATAAATTTCAATTTATTTCGCATCGACAAAATATTTACCTCCCCCATCTCTCCAGCACCACCAACACTTTCGTCGAACGAAATCCGAAAAGGATATGCCGTATCAATAACTTATGTGTATGTCTATAGTGTAGTTTTCTGACAAAAGATTGCGTCCATGATAGGCAAATATATCGCCTCGATCTTATGGATGATTTATCAAGGGGATTTTAAAACTCATACTAAAGTTTGTGTACTCGCAAACATGTGGAATCCTGCTTCACTTGAAGGTCAGACAGACGGATCTTGTTATGTCGAGTACCGGTTTTTGAATATAAAACAAGCTCATTATTCATTCTTGAACTGCACATTCTTCTCTTAGCTATCTCACTCGCTCTCTTTCTCTTTCGCGACCACCATCGTTGAACAAAACCATTATTCATCGAGGCGAGCAGATGTCGCCACTACATGGACACACAGAACGCACACAAATCGTTTGACGCACACAAATTCTCAAAGTGATTCCGTATAATTCAATCTCCTTTGAATTTGGTGGAATTGTTTAAATTTTGGCATTGAAGTACCCTGTTTATTTATACCTTAGAGCGTATCGCCAATTAATTATCGAAATCGAACTGTCAGTCAATTTGTACAACTTTTGTTTGTTTTCAAGCGGTGACGACGACGGCCTTATGCTGGCTTCGAGTTTTGATCTCTATTAATCTCTTTCCTTATAAAGCAAGATTTACACTTCGAAAATGTATTTCCATCCGTTTGAGTATCTCGTTTTTTTCCGTTATTGAATTGAAAATCAAAGATAAACATTCAAAATTCAATTATTTTCTTTCGAATAAACATCAAGAGATTATTGCCAATTTATGCTGATAACACAACCAAAAGATTAATTTATTATTAGATGAAAAAATATAATGAAGAAAAATTGGAAAATTATTACACAAGAAACTTGCAAATCTCGTTTTTTTTCAAATTGAATAGAAGTGCCATCGATTGATTCCAATTAGCTTAACAGTGACCAGAATCTAGGGGCAAATCAAATTAGATTCGAATCATTTAGTATATTGCGCCAGACGAATCTAATAATATGGATGAATTCTTTTACTTGGAAAAACGTTTAAATATCAAAGGGTGTGTATTACTGTTCACATGGTTCTCTTAATCAATGGTAATTTCACTATCACCAAAGCAATGACGATCCAGTAACAAAGTCTTCTACTACTTTTTTTCATTGAATATATATTATAATATTTTTTTCTGAAGATAACTTTTGTCACAAAGTATGGGTAAATCATAAACCAAATGAAAATTAAACTATATTTACCGAAGTAAAATTCGAAGGGAATTTACTTTGATTCGACAGTAATAAATGCCTCTAGACCAGAATGATCTAAATAATAAATTCTCAATGCATGAATTGATGGATATTAAATAAACGAATGAAAATCGAGGTGGTAAACAAAAGATTAGAATCTATTATTAAGAAAAATTATGGTACTTAAGATGATAGCCTTTGGATGGATAATGTTTGGAAATATGTTCGAGTTAATCCATTTTAATGAGTTTCATCGAAGATTCCGACTGAAACCACTTATGAAGAATTTGCTTAAAGCCAATCGATATAAACTTTCTATCCAAAGATATATGTATCCAAAGTCAAAGTTATTCGAAAATCCATCCGTAGATAAACAAACTCGTGTGTTGCTATTGGTTCGCATCATATAGTAACTTGCTATATGGTTCACATTTGATGAGAGTGTTGCGATTACGTCAATGAATTAATGTTTCAAATGCGTCAAAAAACTAATCTAAATTAGTCGATAAAGCTGATAAAATTCACACCGACAAAAACCGCACCTAATGAATTGTTCTGTTTTATTTACCTAGGTCCGCCAGGCCCGCCGGGAAAACGTGGAAAAAAGGGGAAGAAAGGTGATGCGGGCGAACCTGGACCACCAGTAAGAATTATAAATATCTCTCACACTCTCAACATATCCATATCTACCTATCTATCTATCTTCTTTGAAACTTTCTTATGTGTGTGTTAGTGTTATGTCGAAATTTTCGACCGAATTGCTACTCAGAGCAGAACAGAGCAGCAATTCGTATGCAAGATATGAACGCTATAAATCTTGAACTATAATCCCTATCACCAAAAATAAAACTAAAGTTGAAGCAATAATCCGGTATCAAAATATCGCGATATATCCGAAAGCGGTCACAAATTGAGACATTCATTTCTCGCTCTAACTCCTCTTTTGAGCGATGATATTACACCATCTTTAGATTAAAACTACCTTTTGCTGGAACGCCATTGCATGCATTTGCACCGTAAATATATTCCTGTAAATATTATTTGCACCGTCGTTTTTCGCACCGTTATCCCAAATCTCTTGCACTATAAATTATTTGTATGGATGAGAGTAGAAGCAGCATGGCAAAAACCATCTTTACGGAATGCAACGAGAAATTTGTTTTTACAAAAACGTAACATTCGCTCGAAGCAAATGTAACATGGAGTTGAAACGAAGTTCATATTACGTTTTCATTGAGTTTTTACGAAGACAAATCTTCCGTAAAAATCGATTTTGCAATGCCGCTTTTATTCTCATCAACACATTTAGAAGTAGTTTTTCAGAAAAAACGGGTCAAATTTGCATATTTGTTTTTCAAAGACTTTTAAATACCTGCTGTATAGAGCTAAATTTTCCGAATTGGTCGTTCATTGCGGTATTTTGCAGTGCAACATTTTTATGGCTAAAAGGTCAACTTTTCTTTTATTCACCTTGTTTATCAATTATATGTATCATACTTATACTTATACAAAGATAATTTTTTTGCTAACCATAACAATTTTGCACTGTGAATAACGCAATTGGTGCAGGAGTCAAGAAATTCAGCATCAGACAGCACTTTTTTCCCTTCATTCCGTTGTTGCGTCCGTTTTTGTTTTTTTTCTTCTTAGTTTTAAAAGTTTAACCCTTCAGTTTTGCAAATGAACGCAGTTTCATAAAATTTCTAGCGTATTACATTTTCATTTGGTCGCTTTTTCCCTTCTGTTGTTGTCGTTTCATTATTATTTATATTATTTTGATTTCATTTTTTGCCTTTCGTTCTTCTTGTTTATTGCAGGGTGTAACTGGACCACCTGGCAAAAATGGTTTTCCGGTACATATTGAAAATGAAATATTTATATAATCTTTCTAGTTGTTATGTGTAGGTGTTTTCGGGTTGAATCAACATAACATTTTTGTCTGTTCATGCAAATTGTTCATGACAGAACATTTTGAACCTTTTAGTTGGGAATAAATTCAGACGAACGCCCGAAAAAAAGTGAAAACGAGAATAAGCGCTCAATTTTGAGTTTGTCAGTTTTGATAGTTTGACTGCTTAATGAATTCAATTTTTTAGCTACGGAATTGGAATTTATTTTCTCTCTTTGTGATGTGTGTGTGTGTGTGTGTGTGTGTGTGACTCGAAAAATTTTGTGCTTTGGTGACTAGATTATTCAGTGCACAACGTCATGTGAATCATTTGACCTTTCATTTAAATTAGCTCATCGAGCGCTCATGCTCAACTGCTCCACCATATGGAATTTACAGATGTCATAATTTAAGTTATTTGGCCATTTTCGGCAGTCACGAAAATCAAATGAAATTCCATTAATTTTGAAACTTTCCAGTACCGCACCAATCCAGTCGCAGTAGCATCGAGTGTCTGTTGGTTTGGAATTATATAATGATTAATTTTTGGCATAAATACGCTCAATTCATTGAACAATTCAAATACATTAATTTATTTTGTTTTGTTGGTGAATTTTCATCATGGATTTAATGCCAATGCTATATATTCGGTGTGTACTCATGGATACATAATTCTAAATTTCAAGCCAATAATCCAATTTTCCGTGCATTTCACGCACTTTTGGCACATTTTCCCATTATCAAAAATCTTTTCGCGGATGTTTTTCAGCTCGTTCATGATTTGAAATCCATGTCAAAACTTGAAACACACTCACACAAAAATATAAATAAAATGAATTTATATCGGAGTTAAGATAAGTGGAAGGTTGGAAATGATGCCATCGTGATAAATCGTGAATATTTCGTCGAGCGAACACGTCGCACTTTGTGGAAATCGACTTGAAGAAGATTTTCTGTAGTAGTTGAAAGTGATATCCTTTTTTCGAAGAAGGCGCAAACGGGCCGCCCTTCGGAAAGTAAAGTAAATGCGCGTAGTGCGTCTTTAATCAATACTACATGCACACACAACACAAACACACAAATCGATAAAAACTTCGGAACAGCCAGAGAGACGGACAGTTAAAGCGAGTTTCGCAAGTTCTTTGTAGCTAATCAAAGTTTTGAAACAACACAGACACTTTGAATCATAGTTAAAATTACTCAAGCATACTCTCCTGTTTCGTGCAGATGAAATGTCTTCGAGTTAAGAGAGAGAGAGAGAGAGAGAGAGAGAGAGAGAGAGAGAGAGAGAAAGAAAAGGAAGCAAGCGTAAATAGCAACGGAGTATGAACATTGAACAGTTTCCAGTATAAAATTACCACTTTCGTGTACAAACTCCGGCGTTTAAACCATGTTTTGGACCATCGTTTACAGTGCGTTCATCTCTCTCTTCCTCTCCCTGTATCTCTGTCTCTCACTCTTTTCCTCACGTTTGTGTTTGTATGCTAATGGTATCAGTATTGCGCGCGTACAATAACCCGTATATAATTATATTCAGTGCGGACGAACACCCATTTCGCTGATTCTAAAAAACGGTTGAACGATCTCAAATAATTATAACTAATGAACAAGAACACATATACACGCCAAAAAATACACATCCATAGAATCTAATGAAAATTATATTGTTCCATCAAACTTAATAATGAACTTAACACACACACACACACATGGATTGAATTTGGACCGGCAGTAAAATTTCAGTTTTTACCCATTTTATATAAATATTGAGAAAAAAAAACATGTTTATGAGAATATTTGAAGTTCCTTTTAATGGATTATAATGAAAACTTTATTAGTTTTTAGTAATGGATATAAAGTGATTGATGAGAATTATGTTAAGACTTTTCGTACAAAAAAAATTCAGAGAAAGCCCAACAATTATCGGCAAAATTCATTTCACCTTGAGTTGTATTCAAATAATTTTTTTCCAACATACTCATTCAATGGATTTTGCATTTTAGAATCAATTCGAAAAGTTAGCGACGAAGCAATTATATAATATGAATCATTTATCACAATTCTTAGCTAATTAATTGAGTCATCACAATGTCAATAGCATGGCAGAATATTTGAAAACAGCTTAATTAAAAATTTATTCTCTCCTTCCCTTTCCATTTGTGCTGTCTATCTATGTAGGGACCAATTGGACTGGATGGCCCTAAAGGCGAACCGGTAAGTCATTTTACATACATAGTCACATTTCTTCAAAGTCAAAGTTTTGAATTTCATTATATTACGGGGAAAAATAATGCTACGTTTCTCAGTTTGTTTAATCTGACGCCAGGAAAAATGGCGTGACAAACGTGCGATTCGCCTGAACTTGACCAAATAATCTTGGGCACACTTTTCGTTAATTGAGATATGAATAGGGATGGCCTTTGTTCGAAAAATCGAACGCTGGTAGAAAATGGGTTAAAATAATCATTTATTGAGATGATGGCGTGACAAAAGCGTGAAAATCAAGATTTCACAAGAAATGTACAAGATTCTTGATAAAAAGTTGAGAAATTCTTTTCTCTCATTTTTATCATTTGAAATCACTTGAAATCCTCGCAAGATAAGATGTTATTAAAATTTTCTTCCCCATTTTTTTTCTTCTTTCAAATTGAAGACGAATCTTTTTCGTTTTTTTTTCGGAAAAAATTAAAACAAATATCAACAATTTATCTATTGTTTTCTCATGCAAAAAAAAAACACATTTGTTACAGGGTACCCCTGGCGAAAAAGGTCAAAAAGGCGACTTAGGACAACCGTCCATCGATGTATTCCAAGCAGTTAAGGTATTTGTTTCAGTTTTCTTTAATTATTATCTTAGTCGCATTGTAAAAACATTGACGAAAACTACGAAAAAATCGTAGTCATTTATTGTGATATGTTTCTATCGGTATAGAAACATTTCTTTCTTAGCAACTACACTAAAATCATGAGCTGACTGGGGTTGTTATTATGTACACCCGTATTTGTTTGTCGCCGAGTCAAACAAGAAGAAGGAGACGAGAAAAAAAGATAAGAAAGGTCGACGGCGCACGTATATTTGTTCAAAAATGGAAAACCGAAAGGCAAATAGAAAACGTAAAATTCACATTGAATGATGTGGTTTACATATATTTCAAGCCCAGAGGACCATTTCCTCTCATGCAGTCCAAACCAAATAGTTAGTAATTTTCAAACAAAACAAATCGAAAAGTTTACAAGATTGGAAAATTCATCTCCATTCCGATATATAGAAGAAGAAGAAGAAGTAGGGAAAAAATCATTTCCTCTGGTTACTGTGCAGAATAAACGATAAGAGTGGTTTCGATATAATCTCAGCAATTACGTACTTTGCTTCCGAAAAATTGTTCAAAAGGAGGCCAAAAACATATATCTCGCACACTATGACTTGCGACGCAGACGAGATGGAGAGTATGTGATGAAGAAAAAATACATTGAATCAATTTTAAATGCTTGAAAAGTGTTAGATTTTTCCATTTGCTCGTGTCAAAACCCCATTTCTTGGTGTGTATAGTGTGCAGTTCGGTAAGAGCTCTTCAGTTTCCACAACGATGACTTCTTGTCAACTGAAAATGAAAAATACACAAAATGCCATTTGTTCGGACGATTTCTTTTTCTTCTTACGCTTGCTATTTCTTTTCTCCCTCTTATACATACACACACATATCTCTCTCTCTCTCTCTCTCTCTCCAATTACTTCCACTGAAAAAAGTGAGTACAGAAGATCCCTTGTATTGGCATTTTCAACAATTCATTTTATTACGCTTCAACTGTGCAAGCGACAGCTTGTCGTACTTCCAGCAATTCCAGTCCAGAGAATTCAGTAGTTTTATGCCAGAAAAATATATATATATGTCATAGTTTCAGCTTTAGCTTTTTGTCGGTTTTCTTTTCTATATAATTCCATCGATGCGCCTCGCCTCGTTCATTTTCAATTTATGCAATGAGAGAATATTTTTGTGTTTAACTTTACCCAATCTTTTGTATGCGCAACATCAATGCAGGGACTCAAAAGATCAGTTACAACATTACGCGGTGGCTCTCTAGGCTATGCAGAAATTGTTGCCGTCAAGGTATAAAACCAAACATGAAAAATACATTCGAAATTGGTGTTGTTGTTATTGTTCTTGTTTTCACAGGCACATACTTTTTTTTAATGTTTATCGTAGCGTATGTTTGCGTTTTTATAGTTTGATCAGACACAGATTCATTAACTGTATATGCTAATGTATATAGCTCACTCTCTGTCGGTTGCAACTCGTCGTTGTTGATGATGGTTATAATGAGAATACCGAATTGGCAGCAAACTGTATTGAAGTTAGCTTCTAAATCCCAATTTGAACATGGATTTCAGTGCTAGTTTGAAAGAAACTTGCTTTGAAAAGGATTTCGAGATTTTTTTTTTTCATCATTTCGAATCGAGTCTATTTTCATCATTTAAAAATGACAAGATCTTTCCTTAATTCCTACTTTTTAGCAAAAATTAACATTATGTTAGATTGATTCGATGTGAGATTTTACATATCAACCATCTCTGTGAATATTCAATTTGCAATCGACGCGATCAATCAACAGAGAGTGCACTGTAAAATTGGTCGATGCTAATTGTGTTTGTGTAAACATGTCACTAATTTATTTTGCACAGGTCGAATTTTAACTATATGCTTGTTAACCAATTTTTTTTTTCGCTCCTCGTTGGATTGTGCCGGTGTTGCTTGGAAACGAACAGGAAAAAAAAACGGAACATGCAACTTCGTATGAGCCTGTGTGTTCATTTTTTTGGCGATTCTCTCTCTTTCTATCTCTCTAGAATGAGGAATGGGTTGATGCAAATTGAATCGCCCGAAGTAAACACTCTCTTTTCTAACTTGTTTAAAATGCGACGAAAACATATGTATTTTTGTTGCGCTCAACTATCACTATGGCATTTTTTTTCTCTCTTGTTCATCCAATCTCACCGGTAGGATCAACATCGATATTTTTAGTAGCTTTATGTTGTAGAATGGTTTAACCTCAAGGTATTGATATTATTTGCTTTTAGATGTTCGTTTTTTTTGTGTTATTGTTGTTACCCTTTTAATTGACATATATCTTTAAGCCATTATTAAGGCTTCGGCTTCAAACTATACACGCAGACCCACAGCAAAATTGCCATGATGATTTTTCGTCAATATAAATCCGATGTAATCGTCATGGGAGTTAAAGTTTTGTTCCGACTATTCAAAGTTCGAAACACAAACACAAAAAACAAAAATTGTGAGCAATTGTGTGCAAAAAAAACGAAATTGAGTGTAAAAATGCCAATCGGATTTGTTTGCCGTTTTCGAAATTGAATGTACATTTCTTTTTTGTCATCGTTACCGTTTCTGTAAATGGAACATTTTATTTCAGGTAAACCCATTCAATTGGCATTTTTATTTGAAGCATTTTCTTGCCCCGTTAGGGACAATTGTGTCAATTTCCTACGGTGTGCATTCGATGCTCTTTTTTTACGCGCAGATTTTCAAGTTGATGTACCTTTTGATAAAAAATAACGTCAAAAAGGACGTTTGACAGCTACGCTGACAGTTGTGTTTTTTTTCGTTTCTCGTCTTTGTTTACATTATTTTATCGTTTTTAAATAGTTATCCACATTTTTTTGTCACAAATTTTATATCATTCTATTCGTAAAGACTTGCTGTATTTGAATATTATAAAAATCATCCGTGTCAACATCAATTTCGTCGATTTATTTCTGTGATAATTTGTGCACATTTTTGGTTACGTCGCTCTCGTTACTCACATCGTTTTCCCGTGTTATTGTTGTTGTTTTTTTTATAACCATAAAATGGCCCAATGTGCGTTGTGTGTGAAACCCGTAGCCAATGACAAAAACAAAAGCATTTCATGCTATGGTTTATGCGGCAAACATTTTCATTTTGCGTGCCTTAATAAAAATGATTCCACCACTGTTTTCAATAAAACTCTGACAAACTTTTTGGCGAAAATTTCCGGTTTACAGTGGTATTGTGACAGTTGTCAGCCACACACTCTTAGTGGCATTGTAAACAATTTCACTGAGTGTTCAAATTTTATTTTGGACCTCAAACAATCGCTAGTGCCTCTCATCGACAAAGTGTTGTGCGCGGACTTACCGCAAAAGAATGCCAGCAACCAAAATGAACGAAATGAGCAGAATATCGGTGCTACAGAAGTGATTGAAATTGACCAAAATTCGTTTCTTCGTTTTATTGAAAATGCCAATGCCACCGTGCACACTGAAAATGTTGTGATCGAAGAAAAGTCAGCGGAACCGATGGACGTGAGTGAAAAAAACGATGACTTGGACATTACAGTCGTCCCAAATGTCGAATCGGATGCTGCTACATCGAGTGTATATTTTGACACTCCACGTCCGGACCAAAAACACGTTAAGCGTAGAATTGGTTGCTTAATCAACGAAACGGTGAAACGTACGTGCCTCACATCATCCGACGATCCAGGTATGTCACGCGTTGACAACGCTGCTGATGAAAGTGTCAGAACACCATCACTTCAGCAGAATGCAATAAATTTGCGCAATCTTGTTCACGCTCCGGCCCGCAAACCGGTTATAAAAAATGCCTCACGCGCTCAAGCCAGCAATTTGCACGCCAAAGCGGTACCGTTACCACAGGTCAGCAATTTACACAAGAAAATTGTTCCATCAGTTCTACTGTCATCCAAACTGACGAAGAGCGTTCACATTTCACGCTTTTCAAATGACACCACCTGTGATGATATTTTGAGTCATTTGCGCTCCATTGACTCCACATCCAACATTGTCAATGAGATTCAATGCAAAAGATTGACAAGTGGTGGCCGGCCAATTTCAAGCTACAAATTCATAACGTTCAAACTGACCTTTCCTCGTCAATATTTTGAACGTGTTATTAACCCGTCGATATGGCCAAGTTCAGTTAAGGCCTGTGAATTTGTGGACAAACCAAAACCTCCCTCGTCCACCAGTGCACCACATGCAAATTCAAACCGGCAGTCAAAAAACGGGATGCCCTCAAATGGCAACACAAACAGAGTCAGAAACCATCCTCAGCCAATGTACGCTTATACACAGGCACCGACGACACCGAATGTGAACCATTGGTTCAATCCATTTGCTCAGCGCCCAAGTCTCTACCGCGCAGCAAACTCCGAGCAACAGCAAAACCGTTTCGTCCATCGCGTGGACAACAGACGATTCCGTTGAACCCCAAGCTGCACACACCCGACGCGACACGCATCAGTGTCTACTACCAAAACATTCGCAGCTTGGGTAACAAACAGGATGAATTTTTCCACAAATGTGCTGCTTTCGGTTTTGACATAGTCATCTTGACTGAAACCTGGCTCAAACATAGCCACCGTAATGCCGAATTCTTTAATAGCACTTACGACGTCTACCGCAAAGACAGATCATTTAGACGAGGTGGAGGTGTTCTCATTGCGCTCAACAATGAAATCTTCTCTACTGAAGAAATTAAATTCGACAAAGTGGACATTGAGCACGTATGCATTAAAGCGAGCTTGCCAACACACAACATTTTTATTTACAATGCATACATTCCACCGAACTCACCCAACGAAATCTACGCCTTGCATCGTTCAGCCATTGAATCACTCACGACAAATGCCGATGACGTTGTGATAGTTGTTGGTGACTTTAATCTGACAAACGTTGAGTGGTTAAATGACGATGAGGATAGCAATGTGCTTGTTCCCTCTAATTTCCACTCCCAATGTGCTGCTGATTTCATTACCGGCCTGATGGGCCTGGGCCTCCAGCAAATCAATTCAATAAGAAATCGGAACTTCAAACTGTTGGACCTATTTTTCACAAACGACCATGCCAACACATCAATTTCCGATGCCACTAAACTGTCACTGACGGATAAAATCGACCATTACCACCCTCCTCTGCTGATTGAATTTGAATGGCATCCGAATAACAGTGGTTCCGAAAACCAGAATAATACGCATTTCAACTTCAAACGGGCTGATTTTCAGCGCATGAACGAATATTTTGCTGCCGTCAATTTCGATGACTTATTCGCAAACAAATCACTTGCGGAGAAGGTGTCATCCCTTCATGACGTGCTAGCGGAAGCTATTCAGTGTACGGTTCCAACGTATGTCCGCAAGAACAACCAAAAATGTCCATGGAAAAACAAAGAACTTCGACACCTCAAGAACTTAAGGAAAAAAGCCTGGGATTACTGGAAGCTGACCAATGATAAGGAGCCATTTGAAAAATTGCACGAGGAATTCAGTGCAAAAAACACTGAACTATACAATCAGTACGTCGACAAAATGAAATCAAACTTGAAAAGTGATCCTTCTTCGTTTTGGCAATATGTTAACTCTAAGAAGAGCACTGATAACATTCCAAAAAACATGCGATTCTGTGACACCAAGACATCCAGCGAATCAGAGCAAGCAAATTTATTTGCGGACTTCTTTGGGAGCAATTACTCCACATCAACGACGCCAAATAATCAACCGTCACCTCAGTCTGAGAACACCTCTTGTTTCCAGCTTGACCTCGATTTTGTCATGACTGAAATGACGAAGGTCAACACCAAGAAAGGTGTTGGACCTGACGGTATTCATCCTTTGATTTTAAAGGAGTGTGCTCAGACGCTTGCTAGTCCGTTGACCAAGATCTTCAATGAGTCGCTTTCATCTGGCATTTTTCCCGACGAATGGAAACGATCGAGTGTATCACCCATATTCAAAAAGGGCGCCAGATCGGACATTGAAAACTACAGGTGCATAGCAAAACTACCAACGATCGCTAAATTCTTCGAGCATCTCGTCAACGTAAATTTGCTTGAAATTGTTCGTGATCGCATCTCGCCTAACCAACATGGCTTTATGAAAGGACGATCTACAGCATCAAACCTAACCGAGTTTGTGTACTACGCCCAGAGTGGCTTAAACACTGGAGCTCAAGTTGATGTCCTGTACACGGACTTTACGAAAGCCTTTGATCGAGTTGATCACAGCATATTGATCCAGAAGTTGGAAACATTCAATCTACCTCAAAACATGCTGGCAT